CTACAAAGTTTAAACAAGCTGTTGGTAGCCTCATGTATTTGACAGTCACACGGCCAGACTTGATGTTTGGGGTAAGTCTAATCAGCAGATACATGGCTAATCCAAAGGAGTCACATTGGGCTGCAACAAAACGAATTTTCAGGTATTTAAAAGGCACCATTGAGCACGGTCTTTTCTATCAAAAAGGAAAGAAAATGGGTCTCACAGTCTACAGTGATAGCAACTATGCAGGGGACTTAGATGATAGAAGAAGCACCTCCGGATCAGTATTTATGATAGGAACTGCAGCTGTATCATGGCTTCGAAAAAGCAGCCTGTAGTTAGTTTATCTACTACTGAGGCTGAATATATTGCTGCAGCATCTTGTGCATGTCAATGCATTTGGCTTAGAAGAATTCTGGAGCATCTTGGGTTAGAAGAAAAAGAAGCCACCGAAATTTTATGTGACAACAATTCTACAATTCAACTATCCAAGAATCTTGTTCTCCATGGAAGAAGTAAGCACATCGCAGTGAGATTTCACTTTCTCAGAGATCTGGTGAATGATCAAGTAGTTCAACTGAAATACTGCAATACTAATGAACAAGTGGCTGACGTGATGACTAAAGCCGTGAAGCTCGATCAATTTGAGAAGTTCAGACACAAACTTGGTGTAGTTGAAGTTACTGAAATAAGCTAAAGCTTAAGGGAGGGAATGTTAGTTATTTACGTGTCAATAATGCCCCTATATTATGGGGCTGAATGGGTCTGTTATTAGTTGCTTATTACTCCTATCTTAGTGCCACTTAGTGTGTAGTGTCAGTTAGTTTGTTTCTGAGAGTCTGTAAGGCTTATATAAGCCATTCTTTGCATTGAATAAGAGGCATATACAAATACGTTTACTTTGTGTTTACACCAGTCTTGGCGTTTTCCGATTCCTTCCGAAACATATGCTAAGTAGACTTCCCTTCCCTTAGAGTTTTCTCTGTGACAATTAAATCAAGATACCATGTCAAAGGTCGACTACACTGATCAGCCCAACGCTCTGTTTTGGCAAATACCATGCTTGTTATTTGCCTAATTGTTGATATCACATTAACATTAATGACCAAGAATATACCTTCTGAGCTCTAAATCTCTTTTATGAAACAAAGCATCTATACCCGTTGACCTCAAGGGGAGGTTCAAGTTCATTTCCTTAGCATATTCAACCATACCAGAGAATATGATACCGAATCCAATAGGTGTAAGCTGGTTTTCATCTGAAACCGAACCAAAATGTGACTCGATAAACCAGAGTCCTACAGAAGAAAACAGTAATGTTAGCCCATGAAACACCATTGAGGGGGAAATGGGGTGATGAAAACATATCCTTTGCAATCTCTTCTTCACCGATACCCCATCGCCTCAGTGCGAGGATGCATGCGAGTGTGGAGGAAAGCTCGTCTTTGGTTAACATTGGATCGGGACGACGACAAGGACCCCAAGAACCATCAGGTAGTTGATTATCCCGCAGCCAGTTTAAACATGCAGGGAAACATGGATTGTGTGGTGAAGTGGGAGATGGGACCATTGCAACCCAAGCAGTGTAGAGGAAAAAACCAAAAAGTTCAATCTGACCAAACATCTTGATCCTTTCTTTGGTATCCCTAAAGCACTGCATGATTAAGGTAGGTGTGTAAATGAACATAACTTTTGATAAGTTGTTCGCGAATTATTCTTATAATGTCGTTTATGTTTGTGTATTACGCTAAATAAGTAATTATGAACACAATTTTTATCTTCATTTAATAAACAAACGAACACGAATATATATACCTTCATTTCGTTTATGTTCACGAAAAAACTAGTTTATTGACTCATTTTTATTATTTTTTTTATATTTTAAATATTGACGAAGGCAAGAACTAAATTGAACACAAGGTAAACGTTAGAGTTCAAATGTGAAGCCTAAAAGGATAAAGAACTAGTGATGTAATTTTACCATTTTAACGAACGTGTACAAAACATATTCCCAAACATTATACTAATCATTTACACCCGTAGATAAAGGGTATCATAATCTCTTGTACAATGTCAAAAGGCAAAAGTTATAGATAAGAAGATGGAGTTTTATTACCAAACCATTAGTACTATTGGTGTCTGCTATTGTCTTTGCTCCACTGTCCATGGAAACTGCAAAGATAATCCAGATTAGTAAAGATGAATATTAAGATAACAAAATAAGAGTTAAATATATATATATATATATATTCACACAGGCATACGCACAAACATTAAATATGCAAGTTGATACAGGAAGGACCTGGAAGGAAAGAATTGGAGCAGCTATGAGGGTGGAAGACAGACATGGCGATTGTGTGGTATCAGCTGATGGGGAAAGACTGCCTAAGCAACAGCTGCATACTCCAATGAGAAAACATAGTTGCTGCGTTGACCGGCTTTTGTCGGGCAAACAAATGCCCCACTGGCATTCATATGTTACTTAACTTTTTCAGATTTTTATATGGGTAAAGTACACAAATAGTCTCTAATTATATAGTGATACTTTGTTGAGTACCTTACCTATTAAAAGTTACAAAATGATTCTCTGACTATAGGGTGTTGCTTTGTTGAGTCCTCTTACTATTAAAAGTTTGACGACATTTTGAACTAGTTTTAACCTGCTGACTGAGATATGATAAAATATGATATCAGAATATCAAAAACTATCATATATCAATCAACATGTTAACATACAATTCAGATTGTTGTCAATTTTTTAACGAAAAAGAACGAGTTTGGAACATACTCAATAGTCGGGTGACTATTTTATAACTTTTAATAGTTGAGGGACTATTTTTATACTTTACCCTATTTATATATACTTTTATTATGGTGGAAAATTATTGCAAAATTCTTTAAAAAACAGTTTAATTTAAAGTTAAAAAATAATAAAAATAAGTATGAACCTAAATTATTCTCATTTTCGTCGTTTTTTAATCTTAAAATTGTGAGTAGAAGGATTCAACTCGAAATCAAAACCCATCCATTAATTATTAAAAATTACGAGTTATTTGAGTTATATTTTATAACTCAAATTTTACTGGAAATATTTTCGAGTTAAGTTTATAAAATTACAAGTCGAATCAAACGAGTCAAATAAAATTTTTTAACTATTTTGAGCCGAGTTGAATTTTATTCATCCATACTTATTTTGATACTTATAAAGAAGTGAAGATCGAAGATATATCTTTCATCTTTTACATAAAAAATACTTTATCATTTGTGGTAGATCTAAAAATATTTTAGAAGGTAATCATGTATATATTAATAATACATTATATATATATATATTTGAATGAAGTGATCACAAGTATAATTTCAAGTATAAATTATCAGTAAAATAAAGAAATAATTAAGAAAATCAAATTTCATAATTGATACGAAAAGTTTTGGATCCACCATCGATAATCATTATAGAAATATTGCACTCCATTCAAGTCTCTCGATCAAACAATGAAAGGAAGTCGTCGTTATAACTTATAAGCAATGCTCATTGATGAGAACGGAGCAGTCGCATTAGACTTTTATTTTATTTTGCATTAGTGGTTTTGCCATCTATTTCTATTGGAGTTTGTGCACCACCATTTTGCCTTCATCCTCCGATATTTATTGCTCTTAGTAGACTTACAATAATAGGATTCTTCATAACCTAGTCTCTCAATTATTTCTTTTGTCCATACCGAATTATGAATTTTGTAACTTTGGAGACCAAATTAGATTTTTTTTATTTTGGAGATTAATATGAGAAAAAAATTCAATAATCGAAATAATAAAAATATCAAATTTGTGGTAAAATATGATTTTTTTTTGTATAACCATCAATATTTGATTCATTGTTAAAGTAATTCAAATGGATCAACTCAAATATTATAGAAATTCATTATGAATGACCTATTAAATTCACTTTTTCCATTAACAATAACAAATTTGAATATTAGATGTTATTTAATGGCCTAATATCTCTTTCTATTATACTAACGAGTTATTGATTAACTTAACTCTTCTATTAATATTGACAACTCTTAAAAGATTATTTTATTATTTTAATATAAGAACAGGCCCGTCCCAATAGAATTGAAGGCTCTGTGTTATATTTTAAAATGAGGTCTCTAAAATATTTTATAATGAGAAAAATTATAAAATATCAAAATTTATTATATTACGATTGTTTCTTATAAAATAAAATAAAATAAAAATCCAAACCTATGAAATAAAATTAAAGGCATTAAAATATATTCTTAAGGTACAAGGGTCACATTTAAATATTTAATTAATTCACACGAATCAAACTACCTCAATGATTAAAGGAACAATTGTTATCTCTAAAGATCTTAAACTCGAGTACCAGAGACAACAAGATCGTTTAAGCTTTCATTATCATATTTAAAACCTATATTAGCTTGTAATTATGTAATATTAATAAAAGAATATTTGATTAATTCCAGGCACAGTTGTCAATTGTGACTTCATCTAGAAATTACATTTCACAATTACACCATTTGATAAATAATTTATGAAGAAGGCATGTTCTCCCGGGTTTTCCCAAATAAAAACTAAAAGGGTAAATTACTTATATGGTTATACACTTATTACTTAGTTTTTGTTATGGTCATTTAACTATTACTCTTTCTTAAATCATACATAATATTGCGTTTTGATTCTATTTTGGTCACCCTTTGTTGAAAAATTACTAATGATACTGACGTATCACCATAAGGTAATGCCACATCAATATTGGGAAATAAAAAATGTCATATCAGCATCACTGCTAATTTTATAACGATGAGTGACTAGAATAAAACCAAAACATAACATTAGGTATGGGTTTTAAAAATAATAATAGTTGAGTAGCTAAAATAAAAATTAAATAATAGTTGGTTGACCAAATGGGGTAGTTTACCCAAACCAAAAAAAGGCAGTCAAAGTTGCAACGTAGTAGTAACAGAACAGAAAGCAAAGAAGGAATCCATCACTTTTTCACTCCGAGACTGCCAAACAGTTACACAGATCCTTTTTAATACTGCAAAAAGATCACAAAAAAACAGAGATCGAAAGCAATTAGAAAGCATGAGATTGCAACGAATTATGGCGGTTTCTAAGATTCTCTCATCACATTTGCCTCGCATGCACCGACCCAATGCCTCTCGTCAGGTGTTCTTCACTCTGCTCTCCGAATTTCCATATCCTCTTCTTATTGTTGATTAGATCTTTTTGTTTTCATCAGATGGGTAGCGTCGCTTCTGCGCTTAAAAATTCCCCCATATTTCGAACCCTGGGTCTTATAGGCGGGAAATGGGTTGAGGCTTATGATCACCACACTCTTCAGGTTTTTCTTTTTTCATTTCACAGAATTCTCCTTTTATTTGGGCGTTTCCATGTCTTACGTCACTTTGTGTTGTGTTTCATGTCAGGTTAATAATCCTGCCAATGGGGAACTTATAACAGAGATTCCGTTTATGGGCACACTTGAGACCAATGATGCCATTTCTGCTGCGTCTGAAGCTTTTAATTGTACCCTCATAAACACTTCTAATCCCTCTTCCCTTCCCACACCTATTTCACGCTTTTTGGATAACATGCTTATGATATTATATTATTGGCTTCTTTGACTTTTCTATTTGACTTTTCTGATTTGTGAAATGTTTGATATTAGCATTATATGAAGCATTTATGTTCTAATGCATTTTAAATTTTGGCTTGAGTAGTAGAATGCGTGGTATCAGATTATCAGTCGGGCCTAAATTATGTTATGTATAGATGTTATTATGTAGCTGCTGGACTGAGGTTGTTGTTGTTTAGTCTTTGACATGCCGAGTTCAAAGTTTAATCGTGGTTGAATTCAAGTTGAAGTGATTATCCTCATTTTTTTTCATAGCTTGGAGTAAACTCACTGCTGCCGAGAGGAGCAAATACCTTAGAAATTGGTATTATCTTTGTCTGATCTCTTTATATGATATATATATGTATTAAAACCTGAACCGATGACCCATTTGAAAGAACTATGTTTATTTGTGCTATTTAACTTGAGGTGATAAACTTTATAGCTATGTTTCTTAACCATGAAAGATGTGTTCTTTTAGCAAAGTTTTTTAGTACAATGTCCTTTTAGATCAAAATGTTCCAGACTTGCAGGATATTTTCTAGCTTGGAACCTTAAATGCTTTTCTTATTTGAATGGCTAATAGCCTAATACCCAGAATTTAGTCATTTGGTTAGACTAAAGTAGTCATTTTTCGTTTATGGACTTCTTAATTAAATATAGATAGCAGGTTTTTAGATATCAACTAAACTTTTTTTCTTTCACATGCATTTAACAGGTATAATCTTATAATGACCCACAGGGAAGAGCTTGGGCAACTAATAACATTAGAGCAAGGAAAACCTTTAAAAGAAGCCCTGGGTGAGGTAATCAAATTTAGTGTTGTTAAATTGAGCAACTGGCTTTGACCGTTAGATATTCATTGTTTGTCAATTCTGATTCTACGGCTTAAAATATAGGTTAATTATGGGGCCAGTTTTATTGAGTTCTATGCAGAGGAAGCCAAGCGGATCTATGGAGATATAATTCCAGCTCCTCTAGGTGATCGTCGTCTGTTTGTTCTAAAGCAGGTGAGGTTACATTTGTCTTGTTTATGTCCTCCATGCTGCCAGATGCACTTTATTTCTTCCAAAATATAACTTCTGATTACTCATAAAAAATTTAATGAGCTTCCTCTTATTTATTATTTGATATTGTCTTCTAATAAAAAACTTGATATGTTGACCATAACTTGAGGGGAAAAACTTGTTGACATGACTCTTAAGAGTGCTACTGTACTTTGTGGAATGTTGTATCTGTACAAGGGAAATATAAGTGATGCCCTTTTGTACTAGGAAAAAACCTGCATATAAGGAAAACAAGAAGGAAGATAAACATGGACTAAAGATATGAGGAATGCTAAATTACTTAATCTTTCCAAAATTTCCTTTATAATTATTTAGTAGTTTGACTTCTTAAAGTTTGCATAGCACTAGGTGTTGTTATTTTTGGTGAAAAGATGTGAATTTTGGTGAAAAGGAGAATTTTTGTTATATTATTATGTGGTAGAGCATAGCCTTCAAATAGGTTGTGGTTTTTTACATAAACTAGAACCATAAGACTACTAGGCATTCTATTTATGAGATAGGTGACAGTAAGGATGACTTCCCTTCACAAGTATGTTAGTACATGATTAGTGACATGAGTGATTTAGCTATCTCCTGTAGATGTCTATTTGTTTCTCTTGGTTATCCCATTTTACTGAGGTGTGTTAATACAAAAACTCACATGAGTAATCCCTTTTGCTTTGAAATATGAACCCAAGGTTGATGAAAAATATTCACTATCACTATCAATTTTGAGAATCTGGATCTTTCTTTTGAATTGGGTATGAACCATGGAATAAAAAGATTTGAATATTTTCCTGGTTTTAGATTTTTCTTTAATAAGGAATGTCCATGTGGTTCTAGTGCGGTCATCAATGAAGGATATGAACCAACAAGCTATATTAAAATTTTTCACACGTGAAGGTCCCCAAATGTCACTATGATCATATAGAATGGATGTGAAGGTTTATATTGGATGCTAGGATAGACATGTTGGGTGTGATTTGCAAGTTGACAAATTTCAAAACGGAAGAACTTAGAATTTTTATTGATGAATAAGGGGACATCTTTTCAAGGCATGCTAAATTAGGGTGATGAAGGCGAAATTGGCATAGCATGACTTGATTTGATTCAAAAGTAGAGTTGAAAGAAGACTTAAAATTAGACTCACAACTTGAGTGAATTTTTCCATGTAAGGAAAGTTCCCTTTGAGCAAGTAGAGACCACCACACATCTCAGCTCTTCCAATCACCTTCTCCAAATCCGCTGCTTGAAATTCAAAAAGGTTTGATTAAAGTTTAGTCACAGTTCAAATCACTAGTGTGTTTACTAACAGAAATCAACTTGCAATATAATTTTGGAACATAAAGAACAGATGAGAGAAGGTCCTTTGTCAATTTAATGGTTCCGATTCCTTCCAGTTTTGAGAGTGATCCTTCTGCTATACAGACTGTAGAAAGGCTTGAATGAGGGCTGAACATGTGAAAAATATTAATAGCTCCAGTCATGTGATCTAAAGCTCCAGAATCAACTATTCAAGGCTTTAACTTGTTGGTTTCTGTAATATTTGCAGAAGAAAAAAATATCTTGATGTGCTAGCATGTTAGTATGCTGTTTGGAGGAGGGTGACATCTGCCCAAGTAACTTCTGCAGTATTTCGATTTGCTCCTTAGTGAATGAATTGTATTTGGTGCTGGTGTTGGAAGCATTAGCCACGTTTTCATGGTTGTCCCTGACTTTGCTTGCTCAGACTGGGTCTCCAATCAACAGGTTTTCCATGTTATATTAGGGTTATGAACCTAGCTATGATACCATGTTATTTTTGGTGAAAAGATGTGAATTTTGGTGAAAAGGAGAATTTTTCTATATTATCCTGTGGCAGAACATAGCCTTTAAATAGGTTGTGGGTTTTTACATAAACTAAAATCCTAAGACTACTAGGTTTCTTGTTTCCTAAGACTTATATTCTAAGAAAGAATTCTAATTAAAATAAAAAGTATTTTAAAAAACAGCAGAAAAGAAAACAACTACTAATAGAACTTCAAATTAAAACCGACAGAAAAGAGAGTCCTAATTGACTTCTTTCTACTGGTGTCATATGGGAATGACTTTTATGATCCTTTTGGGGGAATAGCCTTGTGCATTTAAAATCCGTAAACCAGTCAATGACAAAAATATTTGTTGTCCGATACTGCAGATCCTGTAATTCAATCTCTCGACAATTACAAGGATAGGTTAATACTTTTAGTTACCGTGTTTCCAACTGAACCCAAATAACACCTCCTAACATAGGCAGGTGTCTTGATTCTCCCCAGAGCACAAGGGAAGGGCACCTTATCCTCATGATTGTCACGTAGGAAATAGGCTCTTGGAGGAAATGCTAGCTCACATCCTGTAGCGGAAGGCATTATGAATATCTCATTAATCAGTTTTCTCATCATAGGCATGATGCGTTCGCCCTATTTATACAAGAGGGAGAAATAACGGATGAAAATAAATTTCCTGGCTTTTTAGTGTCTCCCTTTCTGTTGCTGTCATTAAGCTGTCTTATTTTGCAGATACCCTTGAAGCCAGTTATATCGATTATCGAGTTATTTTGGTTATTAAGGCTTATTCAAAGCTTTTATACATTTTTAACACTGAATGCTGGAAAGGTAGTTTGAGATTTCTTATGTTTTTACTTTCCTGTAGTATTGATGTCACCATTTCTTTTTGGCAGCCTGTTGGCATTGTTGGTGCAGTTACACCCTGGAACTTTCCCTTGGCAATGATCACTAGAAAAGTGTGTGCTATATGTATAATTTTTTGTCATATCATTTTCCCAGGCTGCTAAAGAACTAAAAGATTTCTTCTCATGGCTGTATCAGGTTGGCCCTGCCCTTGCATGTGGCTGTACAGTGGTTGTAAAACCTTCGGAACTTACTCCACTCACTGCTTTAGCAGCAGCTGAACTTTCCCTTCAAGCAGGAATTCCTCCTGTAATTCTTGATTCATTTAGTACTTTTACTAGGTTTTATCATTCATCAAGTTTATGTTGTTGTGTGGTAGCATGTAATGATAATTGAAAGCTTGTTTTAGAAATGGTAAATCAATGTTTGTTCAAGAAGCCAGATGTGACAATTCATTAATGACTGAACCAAGATAGGCTTGACAATGATTGAGCTGTATTATAGTGTGTGTGTGTGTTTATGTTTTCCTGAGCTGAACCTAGTAGCCTGCACATATAGGTGTCTTGTTCGAGTCCCAAGGCCTGAGTAGAGTCCTCTCTAAATAGTAATACAATGGAAGAGGGGCAGATTAGTCAATACTTACTCATGGCCTGTTTTAATTCACATCCAACTATTTGACTGCATGAGTATGGAACAGATATGTTGTGATTACTGGTCAAAATTCATGAAACATGATGGAACAACATAAACTGTTCTTCGAATACTTTACTCTTGTTAATCATGCTTTTATTTCCAGAATAATGTTGGTTTTCTAGCGCATATTCTTGTTTATTTTTTCATGTTGCTTCATTTGTTTCTTATGGGCTTTTACCTTTGAATCTTGTAGGGTGTTTTAAACATGGTTATGGGGAATGCTCCTAAAATTGGTGATGCTTTACTTGCAAATCCACAGGTCTTCTACGCTTAACATGAAAACCCAATTGTTTGGTCACACGATATTATGAGTGATTTCCCTCTAGAAATAAATGGGTATATGATTTAGAGAATGTTATTTGTTCCTTCTTTTTATTACTTATCCAGGTTAGAAAGATCACATTCACTGGCTCGACAGCAGTTGGGAAGAAGTTAATGGCCGGTGCTGCTGACACTGTCAAAAGGGTATGGTTATTCTATGAAATGGATATATAAACCAAATCAGTGGGTTTTGAAAATTTCCATGCAGTTGACTGTCTATATTCTGAATTCTTCTAGGTATCGCTTGAACTTGGCGGTAATGCACCCTGCATTGTATTTGACGATGCAGACCTTCATGTGGCAGTTAAAGGCACAGTAAGTTTACACTGTAGAGTAGCTTTGATATATATATTGTCATCAATTGCATTATCATCCTAGATATTCCTGAGTTCCATTTGTAATTGGTTGTGGGGCTGCAGCTACCATTCTGGATGGCGATAGTAGTGATGATTTTTTACCATCACTTATATTAAGTTTCAAGAGTATGATTTGTTCTTCTCATTGTACTTAGAAAAATAATTATCTGTTTGTTGTTTCCTTTTTTACTTTTCTTTCTATCCATACCCATCATCTTGTCTTACTATTTTTTGCCTATTCTTACATCATAGAATGTACAAATTTTTATTGTCCCCCCTACCCTGCCTGAACAAGAGGAACTTTGCTATGTTATAGGATCATACTTTTAGTTTCTTAATTCTCCACAGGGTTGTTTCGGAACCTGTATTTGCTTTATTGATCCATGTAGAGGTGGCAAAACCAAACCTGAACCCAAAAACCACTTGAAATTAGCCTTATTCGAGTTGGATTGACTGGAAGGTCATTGAATTGAATATTTGTAACTGGAAGTGCCCAAGCGCATAGGGCTGAAACCTTATATGATCAAAAGATGAAATGACATGAGCAGAAGCAATCTGAAACAGAAAACCCAAAGCAACCTGAAACCCAATACTGACCTGATCATGATCCTTTATTACCCACAACTGACACTCTATGTATTCTACTGTCCTGTCCAATGGTACCTTCCATTTTATTCTTAACCTAATCACACACTCTTATCTTTGTTGCACCATTTACCATAGTATGCAATTTGCAGCTTGCAGCAAAATTTCGTAACAGTGGACAGACTTGTGTTTGTGCGAACAGAGTAATTGTGCAAGAAGGTACGGATTTAAATGTATTCAATTGAAATCTGTAAGTAACTTCTTCTTTTAGCATGTTTTGCTTAATTGAGAGACTTCGGGTGCATTTGGATGTAGAAAATGTTTGCTGTTGTCATATCTCCATTTTAACTATGATTTATTATAGTTGATTCACTTTTTATTATTTAGAGCTCCTAAAGATGGATGATGGTCATTAAACTGCATGAATGCCTATTGTCAATGCTACGATAATAAATGGTCATATTAGTATTTGCATTATATCGTATGCTCATAGTGGTAAAGATATATGTTTCCCTGATTCTTCATTTATCTTGAAGTATCAATATCTGATGTTGCATCCAATGCATATCTAGACATGAGCATGGGCATATTTCTTCAAACGCATGGAAATCTTTATTAAAAAAAAGAGAACATATCTGTGTCGAACACATATCTTTGTCCAACACTCGCACCTAAGTTTGAGTAACATCGGTACAAATGTATGCCAATTTCCTAGTGCAGTTTTTAAGTGGGCTGTAATATTCTTTTCTTTGGGTTTATTGAATCATTTGTTTCAGGTATTTATGATAAGTTTGCAGAGGCTTTCTCAAAATCTGTCCAGACTCTGCAAGTTGGAGATGGCTTCACTGAAGGTGTGGCCCAGGTAGTTAGCCTTTGCTATGCATCTGGGGTTCATATATTTATTGTTGTTGCCAAATTGGTCTTAACATTTATGTGTGGTTGGAGCCTATGTGGCTTATGTTTCTCAGTCTTCAGTTTATACGGATGATTGTTGGTGAAATTGTATTGATCCTTTTTCTTTAGGTATTCTTTGGAAATAATAAGATTTGTAAGGATATGCAGTTATGTTGATAACAAGGCTAAATTGCTCGGAGCTCTTTCTTTTAATTTAATCTAATCAGTGGATTTAGCTTAAAGATAATAATTTCAATTTACTATACTTACCTATGTAGGGTCCACTAATTAACGAATCTGCAGTTCAAAAGGTTAGCTTTGCTTTCTATTTTTCAGTTTTTATCTACTACCATATTCATGATTTTATTTTTTATTTTTTATTTTTAGTGTATTTCTCTACTATCTTTTACCTTCTGATTTTTCTTTTTTCACAGGTTGAGAGATTCCTTCAAGATGCATCATCAAAGGTTTGTTTTTGTCTTTCTTGTCAAACTATGCCAATTATTTTAACCTTTGCTTGGGAATATGAATTTGAAGATTTGGGTTTCATTTTCTGTATAAATTGTGAGAAAGATATGCTTATATAATGTGTAAATTAATTGAGATTCAGCATGATTATATATTTGAAAGGTATAAAACACGAATTTTGAATTCTTAAATATGTATAGGAATTCCAAATTCACTAGGCATCCAACAAATCCATGAATTTGAGAAATAATCATGAATGTTACACTTATGTGTTTATCAAACAACTTATACTATTTTTAAAATTCAAAGCCATCTTTTGAAATCTAAGTTCTCAAATGCTTCTTTAGAGAATCTACCATTTTTTGTGTGGAATTGTTAGGTTTTATATGTGTCTGTGTGTGTTTCTATGTTTGCATTGAGTGCGAATGTGTTTATTTAACACTTTAATTGGACAAAAAGTTAAAGCTGGAACATGGTACATGGGTAGGTTCCGGAGGATGCACGAGTTGATTATTTAGTTTATTTTGCTGCATTCTTTATGGTAAATTAAATTAAAATTTAAACATCTTTAAAATCACAAAAGACATAATTTTTTTAGAATAAATTTAGTTGCATTTTTGTAGTTTCCCTTTTAATTCATAGTTGGTTATGGCTTTTCATGTTCATTTTCTTTACACTTATCGTAAGACTATTTTGTAGTTTTTAGCAATCAATTTTATTTAAACTTATTAATTTATCTTTTAATTCATACTTGGTTATGGTTTTTATTGCTCATTTTCTCTACAGTTGATTTCTTCTTAATTACTAGCTCAAGTACTTAAGCAGCTTAATATGTTAACTCACTGTTAAGAATTAAGATTATACATGAAAAATATCTAGAAAGTTACTGATTAAAACTATAACAATCGATTGCTTGTGGCTTGCGACAGGTTTAAGTTTTATTCATAATTTATTGTCTTAGTACTTATCCTTTTCACATGCTGTTTTAATTTTTAAAAATATAAGTTGATAAATTTGTATATTTGATTATTTTTGAAATTATTATAAAATTTCCAAAGAAAGTACATGATTAAAAAGAAGCGTAGACAAAGAAGAAAAAACAAAATTAAGAGAGGAACATAATGCTTAAAAGATATATAATTTGTGAATCTCTAAACCATAATTATCAGAATTGGAGCAGTCTGGTGATCAAAACCGATCAATCTGGACCTTGACATGGGTAGTTCTTTAAGGACCTTTTATGCAATTGGTCCAAGGAAGTCACTATTAATCTACTAGGTTTATGAAAAAAGATGACTTTGCTGGTTATTTCTCTCTCATTATTTATCAATTAAATTTAGTTTTTTAAGTGATTTTAAAACCATGCCTAAATTTTTGTATACTAGGTTCTTTCACCATTTCCAAAAAAGGAGAGAGAGAGAGAGGAAAAAAGTTTTTACTTGTAAATTGGTTTCAACATTGAAATTAACAAGCAAAAGTACATTATTAAAAAAAGAAAAAGTAATAAGTCTTGGTAAAATGAATTGATTTCTTTTCTTACTTTTGAATTGGTAATGAACAATTTTTAGTTTATTCAACTTCTAAAAATATTTATATTCTATCATTGTTTATTATTTTAAATTATTTTTATGAATTCAACATTGACTTGAATGAATCAATGGTTGAACCGTTAGATCGGATATTAGAAACTTGGAATATGTCATTTGTCTTGTATTGTTCTACTAACTGTGCCTTGAACATTGGATTCGCTATAATGATGATAACAGTGAAGTAAAGAAAATGAGTGTCTAAAAGTTTCCTACTTTTTGGTTGAAATTGGTCTTGGGTTTCTAAAGGTTTCTAAATATCACTACATTTCAAGTTTCATTTCCTTCTCTTGGCTTTTTAGCCCAAAACCCATATGACTAATCTCCCAAGCCAAAATCCAATTCTTAAAAAGGAAGCAATATGACACTCATACAAGCCTCTGAAAACTCTAGAATTAGTGATAAAAATATGTTAAATAATACATTCGTGGAGTTTGGATCGGCTTAATGGTAAAGCTTTTTGTTGTTTGAATATGAATGTAATCGAACTTCAGGGAAACATTCTCATGTATCTAATGCCTATTAATTAACCATTAATGGTAGTGTTATATGATTGAACCAGATATATTTGTTGCTTACTGTTTTGGACATGTCTGCTACTAGTTGCCATCTGAATTTACTGATCAGAAGTTGAATAAGATGCGTGATATAAGGGGTTGAAATACGATTTTTGTATCATTGGCAATTGCAATTCATCTATATTATATCAAAATCATCTCATTGTAACAGGAAAATGCATGTCTTTATTAACAAGGAAATGCTAACTACCCGAGCTGCATATTTAGTTTTTATATTTGATTAAATAAGAATGAACTCTAGTGCCTCCTCAGTTATTCCCCTACTATTCCTTCTCTCTTTTGGTAAGCGTTGCTATGTTCTATTTCTGCGTGTGAGGCTGTGACAGCCTACAAAATAATTTCTGTTAATACTTAATTTATCTTGTCACTCATCTTTTCTTTTCTTTTTTTGAAGGGGGCGAAAGTCATTCTTGGGGGTAAAAGACATAGCCTTGGAATGACTTTCTATGAGCCCACAATTGTTACTGATGTCAAGAGTGATATGCTATTAGCAAGGTACGTCCTCAAAATCATTTTATTTCTGATATAAAATATGTTCTTTGATGGTTGATAAAAAGCATCTTCTGTTCTGTGAGTATTTTACTTTGGTAAAATTGTTTTTTTTTTCCTTTTTCTTTTTGTTCTGTACATCAGTCCTGATGGAGTATATTAGGATCTTGAATATGGCTTTCATTGACATGAATGCTTTTCTTGTCATTTTTATGGAGTACTAGAGTTTACTGCATTACAGAAGTGGTGAAGTGTTTAAAGTCAGTTTAGTGTCTAATTTACTATGTCATAACCCATCATGTACATTGAGTGTTAATATGTGGTTTTTTAAACATTAAATTAAAGTAAATTTCTTGTCATATGTTTGCCACATCAAATTTGCTGCTATGCTGTTTCGGTGTATATGTATGTATAGTTTTTGAGAAGTGATTATGTTTGTATTACCTCAGCGAGGAAGTATTTGGACCAGTGGCACCTCTTTTGCGTTTCAAAACCGAGGAAGAAGCCATCCAAATGGCAAACAACACTAAAGCAGGTTCATTTATCAAGCCACAGTTGTATACTAATGAATAAACTACATTTTCTTTTAAAAGTCATTATGTTTCTTTTAGTGAGTCATCACAGCTGTCCGTCTAGCAAACTCGATCAATCAGATATCAGTAATGTACTCATTCAAAATTTAGCATGTACGGTCTTGTCTGAAAATATTATACAGTTTAGTTTATTAGAACACATGCTTTCTTGCACATATCAGGTTTAGCCGCTTACGTATTTACAAAGAATGTTCAACGAACATGGCGTGTCTCAGAAGCCCTCGAATACGGACTTGTTGGTGTTAATGAAGGAATCATTTCAAATGAGGTGGGGGGCATATTTGCATCTATTAAACAGATTAAGAAATTGAAACTGTTGCAATCTTGTAGATGTAAATTATTGTTTGTTTGTTACAATTCAGGTGGCACCATTTGGTGGTGTAAAACAGTCGGGTCTTGGACGAGAAGGTTCAAAGTATGGGTTAGATGAATATCTTGAAGTGAGTACAATATCTTAAATGTCTCACCTTATATATATATATATATGTACATTTATACTCACAAGTATATTCCGAAAACTATTGTTTTTATTTGCTTCTTGGTTGCTTGCAATAGCTGATGTTTGATGTTTAATGCACATAGGTCAAATATGTGTGCTTGGGAGATATGAACAGAACTTGAAGAAGGGAAAAAGGTAATCTGAGGAAATAAAAAAATTGAAAGAGGAAACGTCTGATGGCTATTATGTTGGAATGGAGGGTTTGATAATGTTTATATTTCTTGCAATTGCTGTCTAAATAAAGGTGAGCCGTCCCAGACGATTTTGTATAAATTTCCAGCAATTTCTCATCCATTTTCAGAAGCACAAATAAGGATTTTTCATATTATAGATTATTATTTTTCTAAAAGCTCAGTAGGATTTATAATTTTATATATTTTACTATTTCCTTCAAGAGATAAGATTCACGAAAATTGTATAAAATCCACTAGTTTCAAATAAAATTATATGTTTTCTTTTTTTAATTGTCATGGGAAATAAATAGAATAATAAAAGCTTTAATCTCATTCATATGATGGGTATATCTTCATGTAAAATTACTTATATTTAAAATTTCTCTAAACCTAAATTACTTGTTTTCTGTAACACCTTTAATCCATCAGTCAATCTTCAAAATTAACAGTTGTCACAGCAATTTAATCCCAAAATTTATTCGGTCAACAGATAATTAATAATAAATATTATATGTATCAAAACGTTTCAGATTAGAAGTTTGCCTATAAATATGAAAAAAAAAGTCAAATTATTATATTTTTCCCCCAAAAATAATATAAACACGGTACATAATTACCACAATACAGTGATAATGGCAAAACACACGTAAAGGAATCGTCACATTTAACAAGGGAGGAAAAAGATAATCTTTTAAATACTTTTCTAAATGTTTTTCCCTCTCAACGTAGGATATATGCTCTTACACTTTTTGAGCATTACTAACATGGGTGACCATAAGCAGTGTTTTGAAAATCGGATCGGACCAGTTGATTTAATCGGATCAACCGGGAACCATTACTTGGTCCGATCCATTTTATCCCGGTTGAACTGATTCTAGTGAACCGCAAGGAACTGTTCGAAACGGCTTTGAACCGCTCGAATCGGACCGAACTATGAACCGGTTCAATGTAACACCCCAACCCGTACCTGACTCGAATACGAGTCCGAGGTGTCACTTTGATTTTTCAAACTTTGACTCTTAAAGAAAAACCCCGGGAATTTAAAACTTTGTTTAAAACAAAATACGTTAATTTACATAAAAGATACCACAAAATACAAACTCGATCAGAGTGCTCATAATTAACGACTTATTACATGCCAACACTCTATACACAACAAAATACCTACTTTGTCGATTACTTCTGATATGATCTTCTAGTAATAATATTGTCCTTGCTACTTCTATTCTTGCTCTTCTCGTTTCTTGGTACCTACGTGTAAATCACTTACACGCTAAGCCATAGACTTAGTGAGGCAATAAATAAACATGTAACAGTAGATTCATGAATATGCATTCTTATCATTTGATCATGATATTTCAATATGCATGTATATATTTCATATGACATATATAACCAAGTCATGCACACATGAAACTTACCTTTTTGCATCACTTTCACTTTAATTTATATTTCAATTGCCCATGTATATTGTTGTTGAGAACAAAGGTATGTGAGTACATTGAGGTTGTGCACTAATGTTGTCACCACAGCTCGTATAAATTCCCTCATGGGCACCGAATATTTGTTCAGTATTCGTCCCGAAGGACTGCTATATATGTCCCGTAGGACCACTACGTCTCGAAGGACTACAATACCCTCAACTCTTGGCATGCCAACTATACATATAGCTCTCGTATCATATACTATGGGCATTTACGATGAATACATTTCTCATCACTTGTTCTTTTTTTTCTGTCACATACCACATGTATGTGTAACCATGTATTTCATATCATATCACATAGTTTATCTCATTTCACATTGGTCATGTATCATAGCATATATCACATATGCATATAGTAATGTATATCATATCATATATCTTATGTTTTATGCTCTTATGTCTATGCATATCATATAAAAATATATAATAACCTATACCCATTTCATGTATTCATGCACATATAAGAATCACAAATCAAATAACATTTTAGGAGTCACTTCTTACCATAGTAACTCAATCACTAGCTCATCGCAAGCCAATGTTCGTTCAATAATATAAGTACAATTAAAATTGCACTCACCTTAGCCTTATTTGCTTTGATTCGATCCTAATCTTTTGATTATTCTGGAACTTGTTTAGACTCAATATCTACATAAATATAACATTTCAAAACAACTATCAGAAGCCTAAACCTTAAACTTGATGTTAACAACTTAAACCAAATTAAAGAACCAAATTCTATTTTTCATTTAGGGGGGAATCGATACCCCCTGAACATACTGGAATTTTTCGTTCAAGAGGGGGGAATCGATACCCATTCATAGGGTATCGGTCCCCTCTACCCATAAATTGTATTTTAAGCCCGAAAATCATCAATTCTTCATTCAATTCTTCTATTTTAAACCCCTACCATGTCATTAAACCTAACCACCATTACTTAAACCAATTTATATCCATGAAAACCATCCATAACCTCAAAATCCTATCCCTCATATGTAAATCAAGAATCATACTCAAATTTCAATATATTCTAAATACAATTCTAACACTTCATATTCCTTAATTAGCATAATGACAAGTCAAATTTAACTTCAAATTCAACTTATCAACTCTTTTCCATAATTTCTTATAAAAACCCGTTTTCTTTAATTTCTTATAACTTCTTCATCTTTTGATTATAAGACAACTTAAGCTTTTCTTAAGCTTAGTTATCTTCTAATGATCAAAACCTAACCTTTAATTTAACAAATAACCAACAAATCAGAAAACTCACCTCATGTTTCAAGCCTCACGTATGAAGAACAAAGAGGAGAAGATAACTCTGGAGAATTATCTCCTCTTCCACGTGTATCTCTCTAAATAGAGAGATGGCCATATCTTTTAAGCTAAATTACCATACTATCCTTTTAATTCTTTCATATTCACCACTTAATCCAACTGAAATATTCCTATTTAAATCAACAAATTCTGAAACTTTTCAATAAAGTCACTAACCCGTAGTTTGGGATGTTACATTCAACCTAATTTTTTTTACTTTTTTATTAAATGTTTTTGGTATTTTTATTTAATTTTTTAAATAATTATGATGTCGTCCGGTTCTTACGACCGGTCTGATTGGTTCGACCGGTTGAATCAGTGAACCGGTAGCACGGCCGGTTCGCAGACCGGTCCGATTCTGAAAACCATGACCATAAGATATTTGTTCGAAAAAGTTTTAATCATTTGACAATGAACACTCAAACATCCTTGTAGATGATGTGTTCGAACCTAAAACTTCTAGAGATAACAATTATTTCTTTAACTATTAAAGTCGCTTGATTAGTACATCTTCGTATAATAGTCTTAAAAAAGCGTAAAACTGAAGAAATACATTAATAATTGAATTCTATTCGAAGAAAATTCAAATTTCAGGATGGGTAAGAGCCCACCCTCATCCCTCAATGGATCTGCCCCTGGGAGTGATCACAAGATAATATTTGTTTGAAAGATTCTCAATCATTTGATAATGAAAACTCAAACACCCTTGTAGGCGATGTGTTCGAACCTAATACTCCTAAAAATAACAATCATTTCTTTAATAACTAAAGTCGTTTGATTCGTGCACTCTCGTAATAATCTTAAAAAAAAGTAAAACTAAAAAAAACATTATATAATCGAATTCTACCTCAAATATATAATGAAAAATTGAAGAGATACGAGGCATTGATTTTATTAATTTTTTTAAATTATGTATTTCCATTGTCAATGCCACCTTAAATGTCTTGTTCCTTGGTGGCCGTCCAAAGGGGAAAGTATGCAAAGATAACAACATTAAGTTAATTAGGGAAGGTTAATGTTTGGACTTTGGACCTACCTTTGTCGAGGTAATCGTCCCAATTTGCTTGTCTTCAAGGCCGGCAATTTGCTGTAAACCTTTTATATATATGCTCACTAACTGTTCCTACAAAAATGATATTAAATTTATTTTTTATTAAAAATAATATTAAAATATCTTAATGTTGTCCATAGCAAAAGCAAGTTTGTAGTCAATTAATGTAGAATTGCATGTATCATCACAACAACCTCCTACCAAATTCCCATTACTTTCCTTACAAATTCATTTACTATTCGATAGGGCACCCAAAAGTGTTTTCTATGATTTTTCTCATCTCACACTTTTTAGTTAAAGTTTTATATTTCTTAATATTAGTCCCTAATATTTCGGTACTTGCTGTTTTTAAGCATCTTCAAATTTTAATAAAATTATCCCTGAAATTTCTTGTACTCTTACCAATCACAGAGACAAAGTTTACTTGCCAACCCTCAACTAATTGGTCCATTTTTCTCCTTTAGTATATGTGTGTGTGTGTGTGTGAAAGTAGATTAGGCTTGATTTAGGTCTGTACTCACTATTCTCTCCTCCCACTTCGGTTTCCTCCTTAATACCTTGGAGTAAATAATGGCACGCTTCAATGGTTTGTTGTATGAAAGCTTCAACCATGATTTCGCCATTCGAAGGTTTTGCACGGAAAGAGTGGAGCTGGAGCAAGTTGAGTTGGAAGAAACGATGAATTGTGATATTGACTCATGTTGTCCAGATGATGAAACCAGCACCCCTCACTTGGCTGCTTCTGAGGTCCAAGACTTCGTTGATAGTTTCTTCAACATGGAAAACAATGTCGATGTCGATGATGATGGGGATTATAAAGATGATCATCATAATTCCAAGAGGCAGGAAAATTCTCATTGTTTTCAGGACGAAATTGATACGTTTTCGATCGTGAATGCTGATTTAGGAGATGCTTCGCCGATGATCGAAGGAGATGAGTTGGAGAGGAGTGGCTCGTGTGAAGATTTGGGAGCACATGGAATTGTACCTAGTATAGAGGAGGCGAGCCATGGGGTAGACCAAGGGCTTCACCTGGTGCATTTGTTGCTGGCATGCGCCGAGGCGGTCGGTTGCCGCGACTTACACCTTGCAACCTCTATGCTCACTCAAATCTGGGCTTCGGCTAATCCTTTGGGTGATTCACTGCAAAGGGTTTCCTATTGCTTTGCTGCCGGATTAAAATCTAAACTATCACTTCTTCAAAACATGAATGGAAATGGCACGATCACAAATTGTGTCGTGGACGTGCCATCGATAGCTAGGGAGGAGAAAACGGAGGCTTTTCAACTACTTAACCAGACAACTCCTTACATTGCATTCGGTTTCATGGCTTCGAATGAGGCAATATGTCAAGCCGCACAAGGGAAAGTTTCCTTGCACATCATTGATCTAGGAATGGAACATACACTTCAATGGCCTTCCCTGATAAGAACACTAGCATCGAGGCCTGAAGGTCCCCCGACTCTTCGAATCACAGCATTAACCAGTGATGAACATCTCGTAGAGCTTGAAGCCGGCATGAAGTCCGTCATCGAGGATGCTTGCTCACTAGGTATACTAATGGAGTTCCATATTATAACAGAGCCAGTTACACCATCTCTTTTGACCCCCGAGAATCTCAACTTAAGAGAAGGGGAATCATTATACATCAACAGCGTTATGCACTTGCACAAATATGTCAAAGAGAGTAGAGGATCACTAAAAGAAATCCTCCAAGCAATCAAGAAACTAAGCCCGGCTTTGTTGACAGTGGTGGAACAAGATGCGAACCATAATGGACCATTCTTTTTCGGGAGGTTCTGAGTCCTTTCATTACTATTCAGCCATTTTCGATTCACTAGAAGCTAGTCTACCCAGACATAGTCCTCAAAGGATGAAGATAGAGAGGCTTCACTTCTCCGAAGAAATCCATGACATAGTAGCTTATGAATGGTCAGACCGGATCGAAGGCACGAAAGAGCAGATCAATGGCGAAGACAATTAGGCAGATCTGGATTTCAAGTGATGGGATTGAAGTGTTTGAGTCAAGCAAAGATGATGCTTTCAGTTTACAGCTGCGACGGTTACCCATTGGGCAGTGAGAAAGGGTGCCTCCTCCTTGGGTGGAAAGGCAGGCCTTTGATGCTGGCATCTGCTTGGCAACTGCACAATGCTTCGTCCTCGTACTAACACCGGACCATATCATCTTGATCAAAGCCGTAGCCATTATTGATTCAGCGTCGACATTAATTTAACTGAACTTAGAAAATAAGATATTTTCTTAGGTACAATCAGACTATAGGGCCCCAACGGAACACACTTTTTCTTTATATATCATTAAATGCACTTTCAACCTTTAAAATGTTAAGAAGCATCTTTAAAAAATTAAATTATTTAAAGAAATTATGCTTGAATTTCCAAAAGGAAATGTAAATTGTGATGAACTTGTAGAAAAGTTTAAAAAGAGACGATAAAAGTATTTTTTTTCAAGTACAATGGTACATTAAATCACAATATCTGTTCCATAACATTATTATTCCTTAATAAGAGTAGCCTTCCGTTCCAAAAAAAACAATTAGGATACCCCGATTCTCCTTTCCCAAGTAATTGTACACTTACATATACTACTCAAATGTGTGCACAATTGAATGAATACCTATTGTGGAAATGACTGTATCCCTTTTCAGAAATCATTATCATTTTGATGCCTTGTTACCCTTGCTTTGTTGTGACATTGTACGCAATCGACTGGCAATTTCTGTGAACGATGGCCTGGCTGCAGGTTTTGGGGACCAACACTGTTCCATCAATTTTCTCCATTCACGATCACAAAAGCTTGGAATTGTCGGTCTCAGTGTGTTACTCACAATGCCTCCTGTATGTCGAAATAACTTTTAGATCATAAAGAGAGAATGACTCGAAGCATGGTATCAATGCAAATGCAGGAAAATGCATATAACCATCTTATAGGCAACCGAACATATCTATGTTAGGAATCAGCATGAACAGATACCTTCCATGTCATTTAACAGGTATCAATGCCTCGTGGTCAATAAAACAGACCACCCTAAAAGGATCTTGTAAGTGCATCAGTCGAAAGTAACAAAACTACTTCCATGTTATATATTGGCTCCAGAACAAAATTTCCAACCCAATGGATGGAAAACACAGGCTGTTGTTTAAAGAAGAAAAGTACTTGAGTCACACCTATAATTGCACCATAGTGCATATTGGCATAAGGCTCTTCCCCAGTGAGAATCTCCCATAGAACAATACCAAAGGAGAACACATCAACCTGCAGATCAACAAATAAATGTAAACAGTTCCTCAACAATCAAAGCAGTCATGCTTGTGACACCATGAAAACAGGTACAAGAAGCATACAGAAAATGAATATGTTTCCGAGGAATCATCTCAACATCGAAATATAGTTTTCTTTCACATCCCCCACCCACGGACCCATCTCTTTCTCCTCTTTTATTTTTAATGAATATTTAAGGGCTCCCATAAAAGAGTGCTCACAAGTGTATGCACGTGTGCACACATACATACATACTTTATTTAGATATAGACGACTATTGGTCATCAAAGAATAAATGGAAGTTGACAGTGTGGTACTGAAATTGCATATATACAGAAGGGGAAAAAAGTTTTATTAACTACCACTTTAAATTCAGACTCAAAAATTGATTCTCTTAGACTATTACCAATGTCATCCAGCTTTGAGTTCCATTTCATTTAGAAAGCCATGGTAACTAGAGTAGTTTGATGCCTATGGTTTATCTATGAACAGATGCTGTATTAAGACATACCACAAGCAAAAGCTGTTCATTTTAATCATCTTGACAAATATATAGATGCGGATAAACATTTTGCAAAAGAGTACATCTTTCACAAAATGCTCTCCCGTTATTTGCAAAATTCAGCACTAACTGCTGCTTTCTGATCCACTGTAGAGCCAATTAAGCAGTAGAAGCCATTTGTACCATCATTATCTTAATTTCCCATTACACAGAAGCTGCTATAGATGGAATGGCAGCAATGCCAATTCAGAATACATGCTTATCACTACAATGGTTTCTTAAATGACTAATAAGAATAATCAGTTAAAGGAAGACTTCTTTACATTGGGTTTTATCATTATGAACCAAGTCTTAGATAACAATAATCATGTAAAACCTTCCAGAGATCCGTGGGAAGAATCAGAAAGAGCAAATGGCTTATTGTGCCAGTTCAAGTTAATTTCATGAAAGGCATCTTACCTTTTCTGAAACCTTATTGCTGCCTCCATTTAGGAGCTCTGGAGCCATCCATGGTAGGGTCCCCCGAACACCACCCGAAACTAAGGTGTTACGTTTGATTTTAGACAGTCCAAAGTCACCAACCTGGGAAAGAAATATTCTTAGAGATATAATAATTAGCACAATATTTTAATGGTACTAATTTGAGAAGGGCAACGAGGTAACCTTGCAAATAGGTCGTGAAGGATCTTTCAAGTTAACAAGCAAATTGTCACATTTCAGATCAAAATGCACAATATTTTTTGAATGCAAATATTCCATCCCAAATGCTGCATCCATAGCAATTATGAGCTTCTTTCGGCGATCAAGCAACCTGGAAATTTAGATTAGGTAGAACAGTAAGCAGGAGATATTTGTGAAGTAACAACAGGCAGTTATGAGAATTTCATAAATATCAACACCCCCCCACCACCACTACCACCCCAACAAAAAAACAAACAAACTATAAAGTGAAAAAAGATTTCACCTATCCTTGCGAAGTAAAACATGCCTAAGGGAACCATCAACCATGAACTCTGTAACAGTAGCCATTGTTCCTCCAGGACCATCTTGAACCACACCATAAAATGCCACCACATTTGGATGGTGAAGCTTTGAAAGAATGTCAGCTTCCCGCCAAAATTCAATGGTCTGAGGATGTAGACCTTTAGTAAAGCATTAAGTATGAATAATACCAGAGAGAGAATGGCAGTAGCAGACATACAATAACTAGTTAGATAATGATGATTATGATAATAGCTATAATAAAGAGAAAAAATCATCGCCAACAGCCATGTGGTATAGTGACCAGATATCAAACCCTGGCAACCCCAACTATAAAAAGAGGTTCTGTTCGGACCCCCTTCAGTAGAAAAGGTAAAAATATATATTTTTAGTTTGTTAAACTTGGATCAACAGGCTTTTCAAACAATGGCAGTAGCAAAACATGCAATAACTGGGATATACAGTGATGATAATGATAATAGTTTTTATAAAGAGAAGAAATCATTGCCAGCAGCGATGTAGTCTATTGACCGGATATAAAACCCTCGCAACCCCGTGTGTATGCGCGCGCGCCCGTGTATAAGGTCTATTTGGACCCCCCCCCCACAAAAAGGATAAAAGGTAAAAATGTTCATATTTTTTTTGTTTTTTAAACTTCCTTTTAAGATCAACAGGCTTTCAAACACTGGCTTAATGAACAAAAGAAGAAAATGTATTATATGCATAAAAATATTAATTTGTGCAACACAAATTACCAATCTTTCTTGCTCAGATGATCGTCCCGTGAAGCAGCTCTTTTTTATTCTCTTGATAGCAACATCTGATCCCCTCCAATTGCCATGATATACAGTCCCAAATGTACCAGAGCCCAGCTCCCTCAACTCTTCAAGATCTTCATTCTTTATGAGCTATAACATCAATCCAGAACAAACAAGTAAGCATCTAATACACATTACAGAAAATGTTTAAGAAAGTATGTGGGGCACTGTCAAAATATGTTGAGGCCCAAAATATAACAAATAAGCAAGAAGAGAGATACATTTTTTTTGTTTCAGTTTGTATGTACACGGAAGTTTACAAAAGCAAAACAAATGTCAGAAACACAGCCCTGCAGCTTCAAATCATATTTTATGGCCAGTTGATACTCCAAAAAGCTTATCACCATTGCATTTGAGTCAACAAATTAAGTTTATAATAAGAAACAAAGACTGAATCTAAACATATAAAGAGGAGCAAAATTTAAATTAGCACTACAAAAGAGAAAAAAAAAATCTAAAACTATATATTTCAATGTCTTTGTAAATTTAAGAAACCATTCAACAGCTAGCGTTAGCTATTGTTCTCCTAGAACTTTTATCACGCAAAATTAGAGTCATCAGAATCGAATTTTGAGCTTTCTTAGATAGAGTGACAAAAATAAATAGCTTCAACAAGGATTAGAATACATGTCTAGAATGAGCTAAATGCTAGACATAAACATAGACTGTCCCTTGAATCTGGGATTTTATTAGATTATTTTGTGAGGCACACGTAATGAGTAAAAAAGAAAGCTAATTTCTCCAACTAGAAGCCTCCGAAAAGACAAGCAAACACTGCTAAAAAACTGTTCCACTACCCAGTGGGAGTGCACCTAGGCACATCTAGCTGTTGCACCTTAGCATTAGATAACAAAAGAGCTTCAGAACTTTTCAGGTGAGGCACATTTTATCAGGCACGTGTTTGGCGAGCCTAAACATGCCTTTTTGCAAGGCCATAAGTGCATAAAAAAGTCTGCTTGATTGAAGCCTTTCTAGTTTCTTTAATTTTTTTATTAAATGTACCTTTATTAGCAAGAACAAGGATAATATCAAACTAGTTACTTTCAAAATTTTGAGTATTCAACAACAAACAAGGGATCAAAGGAAATCATACACATTGGCCAAAGAAAGAAAATTTTGCATGTTTTGTAGGATAAATTGTACCACTCTTTACAGTTCACTATCAAAATATGTATCTTAAGGTCATTTTATATACATAAACAAGCACACACAAAAACATGCACATGCTCATTTTTATTCACTCGGGCAAGCGCCTATTGCGTGCCTCACCCTTTTGAAAACACACTCAAGTATCAGCCTCTTATCTCTAAAAAATTACAGTGATCTTATTGAATTTGTAGTTAAGCTTCCAGGTTTCAGTTTCACATACATAAATAAACACTTGGGAAGTAGTGATAAAGATGAAAAGTTTGCACATGCCAAAAGGCAGAAGGAGATGCAACGTAAATTCCAGATTTTTTTTTGTTTGAAGTTTCCGATAAATAATTGTTTATTGCAAGTGGCCAAACAGTGTCCCACTTCATTTTATATGCACCAAAAGTATAAGAAAAGCAGGAGAACATGTGACAAAGGTAGCATACCTGCAAGGTATTGATATCAAAATCTCCTAGAGAAGGATCCAAAGGAGGTAGACCAACATTCCTCTTTTCAGACTTCGGCTTCTAGAAGAACCCATGCAGTCATATTCTGTTAGCAGATGTCTTCTAAGGAAACAAGGTGAACAAAATCAATTAATCATTGAAATTAATTTACCTCATATTCTGACTCTGGTGTTCTTAGGTTTTCTATCATGGCATCAAACTGCACACTTTCACTGATTTGCACTTGGGGTTGATCATCCTTCAGGTTGCTTACACCAAAATTTTGATCAGCATCAGCTTGGCTCAAAGGAACTACACCCTGTGGGGTAAACTGATCTGATATATGATCTCGGTTGATGGGGGAACCATCTTTTTCTTCAAAATCTTGAGCCAACTTCTGAAAATATGACCAGCGTTTTGGCTCATGGTTTTCCATGTTCAAGCTCAAGCCAGCTCCATCCGTTTGCAGTGGGCCAACGCCAAAGGACTCCTCAGAAAGCATTGCTTTTGAAAACATATCAGAAAGGAAGTCACGAGGAAATCGATCATTAATATCAATAAGAATGTCCCCATGATCTGCCCTGATAATACCACCATGGAGGTTCTCTTTAGAATCATCTTTTGTTGAACTCTCCGCCCTCAAATCAACCTGAAAATGCCCTGGAGGGTTTTTGCTAGTCAAGTTGGCATCATGGGGCAAAGTAAATGCTGATTCACTAGCTACAGGAAGCCCCAACCCAGTTTCTGATGATTTATCATCTGGAAGATTATCTTTCAGGAAACCAACCTGAGCCCCATCTTTGTTTGAAGGTTGTATACTGTCCACGGGATTTGAAACTGCTTGCTTCAAACCTGTGTCCAACACTTCTTCAGCAAGCTTTGAGTTTATCTGAGAAACAGCACCAGGATGGGAAGTGATATTAGAAGGTTTAGCAGCTGAGCTCTCAGTTTGGGGAGCAATATTATCGCATAAATTTTCAACAGTTTCTGTGTTTGGATCCTGCTGTGCCACATTAGATTGAGGGTGAGCTAATAGAAAATGGGAACCTAATGAATCATCAGACTTTGACAATCGATTTAGCATGTCTAACTGCTCCCGAGGTATTCTTTCTGAATAATAAACCTTGTGAGGAGGTACAGTGGGCTCAATGTAGTTTAAATCAGCGGGATTAGAATCAGAATCAGCATAACTAGAAGTAGAGTGATGGTCATCATTACCCTGTTTAGGAACAGGCACTTGATTCACAGCATCAGCATATGACATAACCTTTTCCTTTTCCTGAAATTTAACTTCATTTTTAACAGTAAAAAGAGACGCATCTTGTGAAGTAACCACAACTTGCACTTCTTCATGCGGGAAATGATTTAGCACCTTTCCATCATGTGGCTGGGGAGAAACTGCATGATCTGTTTCCAAAGGATTATATTTTGCAAGGTCATTGCCCCGGTTACCTGAACCATCAGGTTTGGGTTTCAACTCGGTCACCAGCATCGGCATATTCTGTTGTTGTAGACCATTGTATGGTTGCACTTCAGTCAAGCGTTCATGTTGATTCATAAACCCATTAGGTGGAACTGAATTAGAAAATTCTGCAATATTGGAATAAGTAGAAGAATTATGACCATACTGCATTGGATACCCCATCCTCTGACCATGATAGAACTGTGGACGGGTTTCGTAGGTGCCTGAGGAACCTGGTAGAGCTGATTGAGAAGACTGAAAAGTTGACGATGACGCCATAATACCAGGAATGTTAGAAGAGCTAATGACAACTGAATCTCTTGCAACTCTGCTTGTTTCCCTGACAATATTATTTCCCTCTGATTCTGTTAGATTGCTAGCAGAAAAGCTTGTCAACCCCTGCAGTGTAGAGCTTGTCCTTGTTCCAACATCCATTCCGTTGATGGCTACCACAAACTGAATCTCAGAATCACCATCCATGTTGCCTAGACCAAACTGAGTATCCTCCAAATCACTCAGCGAGAACAGAAACATCCTAAGCTTTTGGGAGGCCTCTTTGTCTAGAAGCTCGTTACATTCCTCCATCATATTCTGCAGATCATCATCCGAGGACACAGACACTAAAGCATCAAAGTCCTCTCCCGGAAGCTGATATTTAATCACTTCCGTTTGGTCATAAATCGATAATATCTTCTGCTTAAGTTCCTGCCATGAAATATCCTTTCTGATGCGAATTATGCGTGTTTCACCTCCAACATACCTTAGCTTTCTGTCACTTGGTCGAGGTAGGATTTTTCCACCAAAGCTGCAGAGAACCTTCATCTTTGGCGAAGTGCCATCAGAGGTACCAAGTGACATGTATAAAAGGCCTCTATCATTTTCGTAGCCCGGGGTGGTCTGTTGCATTGATTGAAGTGACCCATATCGACTTTGGTTTTCATGTATAGAGCCTTTTCTTTCAAACCCCTTTGGACCTTTCTCTACTACATTAGGCATTGACATATCAGACTCACATTCAGACTCGGTACGACTAATGCCTAGAATACCTTTTAGATCCATATATCCTGTTGCATAACTGGATTCACCGAGAGAATTTGGGATGAAAGGCTTCATAGGATTTAACCGGTCCCGCATAAATTCAAAAGCAAACTCCTCACCAGTCTGTATGGAATAATTAAGTACAGGTTTGACATCAGATCCTTTTGGCTCAGGAAGTCTTATACTCATGTTTATGCTGGTCATAGGATTTCGCATGAATGCTTGAGTTGCATGAGAGAAATCCCCATTTCCATGCTCCACAGAGTTGTACTGTTTACTTGCTCTAGGATGTTCCATGAAATTATCGTTTTGATTTTTCTCCATTCATTTAGTCTCAATAGGGTCCCTGTACCCACATGTAATCATTCAGATATAAAAGGAAGATGACAAATACATAAAGAAATCATCTATTAACACAAACAATCACCATACTGTACAAAAAAAGACAAACTTGCCAAAGCACCTGAAACCCAATAGCAAATTCTATTTAGTTTCCAGTTTTTTGTTTCAGAACCAAAAGCAGATGAGACTAACCGCCAGGAACCTTTATGAGTAGTAACAGCTACTGACCTGCAACAAGACAGAGACTTCGTATCAGATTTTGCGGCAAGTAACAAAACTCAGAACTATGTTTGAGTAATGAAAAAGTAAAACAAAGATGAAAGAAACTAGAAATTAATGTGCAAAGTTAACCCAAAAACAACTTTGCAAGTTTACCAAGAAAATGTGCTGCTAAATACTCCTAAGCCTGATCATATTTCACTTTGTAATACCTTAATATTAGCTTCAATTGATCAGAAACAAGACAGTAATCAAAACATGAAACCCTCACTTTCCCAGGTCTTAGAAAACTGGTATTAAGAAATTGAATGAGGTGATAAAAGAAAACCCTCAAGGGACAAAGGGGCCTAGAGGAGGACAAAGATCTTGATCCAATGTTTATTGTTCACCAAAATTCAGGCTGATATCAGGAACTTAACAACTAAAGGAATAACAGATGCCTAAATGCATTGATGTGATTGTTGATACCTGTAATTTGATGTGTATTATTATTAGCCATCTTAGATGCTAAACCACAACAACGAGAAATTAATGACTTCTAATCATCTTTCTTAAGGTTCAGCAGGTTCCAACACCCAACGGATACAATAGACACAAAAGACATAAGCAAAAGAGATCAAACAATAAAAATGTTACAACCCTCAAATATAGAAGTTTAATGCCTTGCTTCTTTCCCCTTTAATGCCTAAGCTACTGAAAACCTAGCATTTCATATTCTCTCTCAATTTTTTAAGATGCAATGAATGAAAGCATCCCAACATTTGACTCAATGGCAGGTGGATATACTCATCTGCTGAAAGAAGTGGGTTCAGATCCCATTTCCCTCATAAATTAAAAAAAAAAAACAAGTCCAGGGAACTTGCTAGAAGCGGAAAACAGTGAGCTTTAGAAACAACATTTTACTAAAGTAAGAGAACAAAATAAGATATCATCACCAAAATTCAACCTTTACCAAGGACACCAAAACTCATGTCTCTATTATGACATGTGTAGGTTGGCTTCTCCGCTGATTATTCGAATTTCATAATTTTACAGTGCAAACTTAATTATATTTATGACTATCAACTGCCACTGGAACAAGTTATCGTCTTCGAACCCACCAACATGCAACAGTAATTGAAAAAGAGAAAAACAAAATGAAATCTAAGCTATTTTTAGTGGTTTAAACTTAAACTACTTTCTCTTTAAGGTGAACGTATAGTATACTTAAACCAGCAGCACCAACCAAGTAATACAACAGCTAAAAATTAACCACGCAGAATATATACGAAAAGTTCACCCGGCTAAACAATACCTCTAGTTTAAAACGAAATCTACCAGAAATAAAATTTAAACCCTAATCTTGTAGAGAAACAGATCAACATAGATGAGCTTATCAACTACATACAAAATAACAAGATTTGGAGAAACAAAAGGAAAAATCTTCTAAGTTACAAAGAAAATAATAACCTGAAAGCTGAAAGAGATAAGGGTTTATGATGGATGGTTTTCACAAGAGATTAAGTGAACCAGCAGCTACCACTGTAATACAACAAAACTCTCTCAATTTAAACATCAAAACTACAGTTCTCTGATAATCTGGAAAACGCTCAATTCTGACTTTCCTTGTAAATCTATTTTTTCATTCAAGTAAATAGTCAAATAAAAGTAGAAGATACTAATTAAAGAAATGGAACATTACGCCCCAAGGTCACTCACTTATGTGTTAGTTAACAAATGAGGTACTTTTTTCTAAAATTTACAATTTCACAACTTAATTAAAATATTATTATAAACAAATCATTGGTGGTTAAAATTGAAACATACTTCTAATTTTGACTTAGTATGATAATAATTTTAGTCCTCAAAACTTATATATTATATCAATTTGGTCTTAGGTCAAAATCATTTAATAAATTTAATCATTTATTTTTTAAAATTTAATCAATTTAGTCATTTTTACGATATTGTCAAACCAAATGATTCTATCAAATTAAAGCAATAGTTAGATTATTTCATTTTACCGTAAAGTATCTGCAAGTTATTGTCAAATTGTTATTGTACCCAAAAGATTAACATGAAAGTAATATAATATTTCTAAAAGAAGAAAAGACAATTTAAAATAAAAATAAATACTAAATTGATAGAAACTTTAATCATAAAAGATTAAATTTATTGAATTGTTTTAAATTAAAACCAAAATAATATATATATATATATATATATACATTGAAGATTGAAACTGTTATCATATCATGTTATTATTTCGTCTAAGATTTAATTATCAATGATTTATTTGTAATATTTTTAAATTGAGTGACTAAATTGTAATGTTTTAAAAAGTGACTCGTTTATTATGGAGAACATAATTGAATGAGTGTAGTTTATCTTAATAGAAGTAAAAAAAATAAAGGATAAATTATGTATTTGGTCACTAATCTATTCTACAATTTTATTTTGACCACTTATTTTTTTTAAAATCATATTTAACGTTACGTTTTGTTTTGTTTTGGTGACTGGCCATTAAAAAATGAACGATGATGATGACATTAGGGATGGACAAAGGGGGAGCGGGTGGAACCAGTGGTCCTCCTAAAAACTATAATTTCTTATATATTTTAGATATTTTATTTGTATTTTTAATTAAAAAATTATTTTCTCCCTTTAAAGTTTTATAACTTTACTTTCCCTTAGAATTTTATAAATTAATTCTCTAACATAAAATTTTTAGTATGACCCTAATTGATGTGTTACTATAAGGTAATATTACATCTTCATTTAAAATATTACATCAGTAATTATATTTATTTTTTAATGATAAATGATAAAAAGGAAAAATATAACATTAAATATATTTTTTAAAAAATATTTTGGTAACTATAACCTTGAGAATAGGTGGATGACTAAAAGCAAACGGATATTATTGTATACATTCCGATTTTACCCTTTAGTTTTAAAGGTATTTACCAAAGGGTGGTTCGTAAAGATCACGTGCTTCTCATGTAAAGTTCTCTCTTTTGTTTTCTTCCTTAAATCCTTTAATTACCGTTGATCGACTTTCCGGTGAGTTATCAAAGGTGCAGTTTTCTTCTATGCTGACGATGATCTGCCGTCTTGATGAGAAATGTTAGGATTTGATCAACTGTTTTACGGTAAAGACCAGTGGGTGCATCATTAAGATAATACATCTAAATGCATAGTAGTAAAACCACTGAGTAGTTGAGTTTTGATCCTCAATCATATTCTTTTGTTTTCTTCTATAAAGTCGCCTTCAAAGCTAAGCCAAGATATACAATAATAAATTATATTATATGCATAGAAAATGGGATATCTCTAACATTTGACCTTCTCAAACATTATTTTAGCACCTCCATTCATTTTGAAAACAATTTCCTAACAGGTCTCACTCTGACAAGTTTTTTATATAAGGTATATATTATATTTTTAAATGATGAATAGGGGTGTAAATATACCAAACTTTAACTGTTTAAATTTTTAATATTGTGTTTATGTTCGTTTAACGTTCGTGAATATGTTCGTTTATATATTTAAAAACATGTTCATTTAAAGCTAAAAATGGTAAAATTACGCCAGTAGTGCTTAAACTTCTTAAGCTTCATAGTTTAACTCCAATTTTCACTATATGTTCAATTTAGTTCTACATTCATTAATATTTAAAGTATAAAAAAAAGTAAACGAGTTTTTTCATGAACATAAACTAACAAATCAATAAATGAGTTTTTTTGTGAACATAAACTAACTAGATACATCTCTTTTTTTTATTTATTTGTTTATTGAATTAATATAAAAAATTTATTCATACTCGTTTATTTAACTTAACAAACGAACATTATACGAATAGTTCATGAATTATTTACCTACACTCCGAATAATGTGTCTAAAAATTGACTATTTGTAATAATAATTACATACGTAACATGCATTTATTATTACCACTTGAAAGTTGAGAATGTAATTTAAAATTTATGTACTAATAAATTAAATTAAATTTCAATTAATATTGTTGTTAGTACATCATAAATAAGCATATAAAATTAAATATATTTAGACGTTCAGTATTCATTAAATTTTTAGTGAAGAAGGTTTTGAATTGAATAAATGTTGTATACAAATTTTATGCATCAAATTTTTATTAATTATCTTATCTTGTGTTATCGATGTTTGATGCAAGTATCGTAATTATATGAATTGATACATCAACAATCAAAATAAGTAAAAGTTAAAGTACCGCATTGAATATTTAATAAAGATGTAGATACCATTTATGATATTAAGGTTTGTTTATTAATAAGTGAACATGTAACACATCAAAGATCTCAAAATTTAAAGGCCTCATACTTAAAATATATATATATTGACTTAGAAAAAATTAGCACAAGACCCCCAAAATTAAGAACCCATACTTTAAAAAAAATAAGTTAACCTATAAAAAAGTTTAAGAACCCCACATTTTAAGAGTCTCGTTCTAATATCGTTCTAATAAATAGCACATAGCCTACATATTTTATGGGACGCACTTGATGATATTATCTCATAAATAAATAAATGCAGTGTTTTTTTTATGATAATTATTTTAATCTGCAATCTCAAGAGAGCGATGTTTAAGCTTTAGGTCGGTTGCATTACACTCTTTTTTTTATATATATATATTTCTGTGGATTTTCATTTATACAAAGAGAAGAAATTATGGAATTTCAGTATATAAATAGGATAAACTACATTGGTGGTCACTAAACTTTTCAAATGATTTTCACTTTGATCATTAAATTTGAAACATTTTTATTTGGGTCAATCTGTTAAACGGCTAACAGCATTTGAGTCAGCGTGCCCATATGTCGTTTTTGTTTAATAAATTTATTACACTAGTAAGAAAATGACATGTATCATCATCTTATTAAGGAAAAAAATATGAATGGTGTTGTAATGGATCAAACTTTAATTATTGCACCCAACTACTATACTAACTTTGAGGCTTTGTTATGTAATTTCAATAATAAATATGGTAAATTACATTGATGGTCACTAAATTTTTAGGGTATATTTACTTTGATCATTAAAATTATTTTCATTAATAAAAACTTACATTTTAATCACCGGACTGTTCAACGATTGACAGTAAGTGAGTCAAGACGTCTATATGTTATTTTTTTAATAAATTAATACATATAATAGAACGTGATACATACCATCTTATTGATGAAAAATTAAGAAAAAAAATATAAAACAAGATTGTGATGGATCAAACCTAGGTCATTATATTTATTAAAAATAAAATTATATTATATTTTTTTTATTAAAAATCCTAATTCTAAAAAAATTACTTAAAAATTATTATTTTTAATTAAAAATATAATATAATTATAATTATATAAAAATTATAATTAAATTTTAATAAATGATTAATTTTAAATAAATCCTTGTACTTTTTAATATTTATATAGTAAATACAAATTTACTTGTAGTGTGTTTTGGTATGTCGCTTTAGTGGTGCATTACAATAAGGCGTACACCGTAGAAGTTTTTAATTTTATAAATATTATTTATAGTATGCATTTAAATTTTAAAATGTTATAATTTATGTTATATATATTTTTTATAATATTTTATAATTGATATTTTCATAAAATAAATGTCTTAAAGTAAAAAAATAAGTAACTAAACTATATTCTCTTTTTGCTTTAAGTACTTAATTTTTTGGTCCAACTAAGTACTTAAATTATTTTATTTAATCATTTTAAGTATTACTATTTTTTCACTTAGAAATTTATTTTTGACCAATAAAATATTGACATGTCACACAAAATTAGGTACTTGTTTTGACAAAAAAATATTTTAGTGGCTTCAAGCAAAAAAGAGATAGTTTAGGGACTTATTTTGACCAAAAAAATTTAAGTTACTTAAAGTGGTTACATATACTAGTTTAAGAACTTATTTTGACAAAAAATAGTTTATCTACTTAAAACAAAAAAATAGTATACCTTAAGTACTTTTTTTTAGTTTAAGCCAATAAATAAAATTAATTTCAACCATAATTTATATAAATATTATGTATTTAATAGTATATTAAACTTAAATAGTAATATATATATATATAAATTATAAAATGTTATAATTTGTGTTAGAAAATAATTTTATCGTATTTTAATATTTAGATATATACATATATATATATAACCTTTTATAAATATATATTTTATAATTAATATATTTTCCTAAGAAAATAAAATTAATTTATCTATCAAATTAAATTTATCATAAAATAACAAAATTATTACTTAGCCTAGTGGTTAGATATTGCAATTCCCTTAAATATCTAAATTCAATTCCATCACAATTCTATTTCATCTTTTTATTTTTATTTTTCATCAATAAGGTGGTGGCATGCATTAGCATCTTATTGGATGTATTAATTTTAAAAAAATAATAGATGAGAATGCCACATCAATTTTCGTTAGTCATTTAACGGTTCTGTGATCGAAATGAAAATTTTATTAATGATAATAAATTTAATGAAAGTTTTCAATTTTAATGATTAAAATGAAAGCATCCTAGAAGTTAATTTACCGACAATGTAATTTACCCTAATAAATAGTATCGTTCTTATTTTTCTATGCACAAATCTGTTGGCTTTGCTTGTTTTGTTAAACAATTAATTAATGCCTAATGTGACTAATACTCGAATTATGGGATTATATATTTTTCTCAATGGTTAGATTAAGTCTTGGTTGTACCCACAAGAAAAAAGTATTGTTTAGTTGACATTTGGCGTCTACTAAGATCTTTGCGTTGTTGCAAAGAAAAAAAGGAAATATATATAATAAAAATTTAATATCATTTAATGTGCATTTAATTAAATTCAATGAATGAGGTATTATATAATTAACTTTATTTTAAAATCTAAAATTTAATATTACTTTAACTTTTGATATATCATTCTGATAGTGGAATATGATAAATAATACTACTTTACTATTATTTGAAATTAAATTTGAAATTAAATTTTTTTCTAATAAATCTAAGATAGTATATGTTCAAAGACTCTCAACTCTTAAACTCGAAATCTCAATGGATCACATCTAAATAGTTAGACTATGATGCTACTTTGCAGCACACCATTCCTACTTTCCTAGTATATCCGATGAAAACATCATTAATCTCATCGGTAGGGACGTACAAATTCAAATTGTGAATCTGATTTGAAAATTTAAATATATGAAATTTTAGATAACTGAAATAGTGATCCGAATTCAATTCGAAAAAATTAGATATATGATTTTTTTAATTTTTGGACGGGATATCCAAATATCCGTTCCGAAATTTCTTTGAAAGGAAAACTTGATTAAGTAAAGAGAAAAAACGAAGCTTTTGAAAATGTGAGTAAATGTAAGGACCAATATGCATGGCATACTATATTGTATTGAGATTTGGAAAAACAGTGGATTATTTTTAAAGAAATAAAACAGCAGAGAGTTGATTTTGAATTGCTTTCTTGCTTTTCAATTGGACTTATATAGAGAGAGAGAGGGGTTAGTATTTACTTAGAATGTAAAACTCTTTAGTTATATAAGGATTTATGATTATTGGATGAGTAGAAATAGATGGTTAAGATTGACTCTTTATTTCCTATAAATAGAGTGTGTAAAAATATCCGATCAGAATGATCTAACTTAAATATTGAGATATTCAATTTGATTTCCCCCCAAATAATTTGAATCAAATATATCATAAAAATCGAATAATCAAATTAAATACAAATAAATAAAATCTCAATTTCGAATTATCTGAATATCTAATAAAATAAATAAGACTTTAGTTCTAGGCCCATACTAGCCCAACAGCCCTATCTTAAGAAAGTGTTGAATTGTAAAAGTTGTGGACTATTAATCGGGTGGACCTCAAGCAACCAAACAATTCTCCTTATCGTTTCACTACTTGCATGGACCCATTGAGATATAGGGATAAAATAATGTTACACAGTGTAAAATTCTTTTAGTACTTTATTTGGTCGGCTCATCAGTGTGCAGCACCATCGACAAGTCCTCGTCCGGTACCGTCAGTTTCGACAATGACCATACGCAAATTCAAGCTCAAGGCTATGGGCAACCCCTCAAACACAACTCCGCATCTAGTTTCGAACAAATGTCTCACTTTGGTGAATCCCCAATCACTCTCATAATCTAGTATAACACCATCATAAGTGGCCAATTTCGTGCCAGACTAACGGACTCCATTCATATTAAGTTTAACCTATCTAGTTGGTGGTGGTGCCCAAGGAATGAGGCGATTGATAGTAGCGGCGCGACCCACCACCCAGGCTGCATATATTGTGGAGGCATGCACTGCCTTCATGTTATATAATTTTCTTTTCAAATTGAGACTGGAGTCTTTGTTTGTGTTGACAAAGCCTGTCATTCACTATTGATAGTATTTTTTTTCTATATCTTTTTTCCCGAATTGTACGATCATATTCACAATTAATATGAAATTTGTTTCGTTCACCAAAAAAAAATGTTAATTTGTTTCTGTTAAGTGTTCAAAATATGATCAATAATAGTTAAGAAAACCGAGAATAGAAGGAAGAAAAGCCGACAAATTTTCACGTGCACTTAAATTTGACCAGGCGGAGGATTTTTTTTTTCCTCAAGGTTGTTTAGAATTTTTAGAATTTTGTCTTTATTAATTTAGATTGATTTGTGTTACACATTTGATTTTAACGGGTGAATCTTCTAATAAGGACTTTCTACATACATAAAATCTTGAGCTCGATACTTACTTAAGCGATATTAAATTACTTATACTTAAACTACTTATCTTACTTAAGAAATTTAATGTCTTATACCACTAGATTAATCGGTTGTATCGACACAATCCTTCACTATACAACGGAATGATAAAAAATTTGAACACTCCTGCTGGACATAATAATTAAGTGAAAATTTTATTTTACTTTTTCTTTAAATTTTCAGTGAATATAATTAAATACATTAAAATGTGTAATTCCCTTGAATATACAAACTGTTACACCAAATACAAAAGCACTCCACCCAAGTCACTTAGAAAAACTTTTGGCCTTCCCTCTCTTCTTGTGCATGCAATGAGAGCAGAGCCTCATGTTCATGTGTTTCTTGTTTCATTTATAGGCCACGGCCGTAAATCCTCTTCTAATACTTGGCAAGCGCCTCGCCTCCATGGGTTCGCTTGTCACACTAGCAACACCCAAATGCTTCAGCAAACAGATGGCTAAAGCCTACAACATCAGCGACCAGTCTATCCCAGTTGGCGATGGCTTTCTCCGATTAGAAAGCTACAAGGATGGCATGACGACGATGAGCCGAGATCTTCACAACTGGACCAAATACATGGTTCAAGTCGAACTTATAGACAAACCATAGACTACTTCGATGATCAAGAAACACGGTGTGCAGAACCGCCCCGTTTCATGCATCATTAACAACCCTTTTGTTCCATAGGTATCTTATGTTGCTGAAAGTCTCGGCATCCCTTCTGCAATTCTTTGGGTCCAATCTTGTGCTTGTTTCGCTGTGTATTACCATTACAATCAAGGGTTAGTGGCGTTCCCTAGTAAAAGTGATCCTGCAATTGATGTTAAGTTGCCTGCCATGCCGGTTCTCAAGCACGACGAAATTCCTAGCTTTTTGCACCATTCGACTCTTTATGCTTGTTTGGGTAGACCCTTCTTGGTCAGTCTAAGAAACTTGACAAGACTTTTTGTGTAATTATTGAAACTTTCGAAGAACTCGAGCATGAAATCGTTGATTACATGTCCAAGTTCTGCACTATAAAGACTGTTGGTCCAATGTTCAAGTACCCTCAAGTGCCAGACAGCACGGTTGTTGGTGACACCGTGAAATTAAAGCCGACGATTGCATGGAGTGGCTTGACTCGAAACCGGCCTCGTCGGTGATATACATCTCGTTCGGTGCTGTTGTTTACTTGAAACAAGAACAGGTAAATGAAATAGCTCAGGCGTTGTTAACCATTTGTATGTCATTCTTGTGGGTGATGAAACCGTGGCCTGAAAAGTCCGGCCTTCCACTTCATACTTTACCGGAAGGATTCTTACGGGAAGTAGGTGATAATGGCAAGATTGTGCGGTGGAGTCTACAAGAGAAAGTGCTGACTCACCCTTTGGTTTCCTGCTTCTTGTCGCATTGCGGTTGGAACTCGACGATGGAGGCGCTTTCGTCCGGTGTGCCAGTCGTTGCGTTCCCACAATGGGGTGATCAGGTGACGAATGTTGTTTACTTGGTTGATGTCTTCAAGACTGGTGCGAGACTGTGCTGTGGAGAGGCGGAGACCCGGATAGTTCCCAAGGAGGAGATGGAGAAATGTTTACTCGAAGCAACGACGGGGCCGAAGGCAGTGGATTTGAAGAGCAACGCCTTAAAGTGGAAGGTGGCCGCGGAGGCAGCTGTGGTGGATGATGGCTCCTCTATTAGGAACATACAAGCTTTCATTGATGAATTTCTCCAAGAGAGTAAACCGTCCATGTAGTTGATCCTAATTTAAATTTAATCTAGTCCGATTTAATTAAAGTGTTATTTGACATAAGTTTAAATTATTAAATTATAAAAACTAATATATATTATATTGATTCTATTTAAGTTAAAATAATCGAATGAGTGATTGTATCACTTTTTTGTATAGTCACCAGCATCCAATCTATTAATTGATTAATCTGGATAGTATCCAATCTATTAATTGATTAATCTGGATCGAGTACTACAGAAACTAGGACAACCTATTAAAATCATATATGTAACAATTTAAACTAACAAACTACTCGAACCTGATATTAAGATGCTCAAGTTTTGCTTGCTTTATAACTCAATCGAACTAAATAATGATCAAATCAATTCAAACTTTTTTTTGGAGAATAAGTGATCCATTAAAATCCTATATGGAACAATTTCTTACAAATTGATGTGAACAATCTTTCAATACAAAAGAATCCAAAAGACTATGCCACGTTTCTTATTACTTTTCAAAAACTGCTTTTTAGATCAAAAGCACTTTTAAAGTTATAATTCATGCTGAACGTTTTAAAATTGCTTTTTAGATTATAATTTTTTTTCAAGACATCAGTATAGTCAATTATTTATGGATGTAGAAATTTATATATTTCCATTTCAGTTTTTTTATATAAAATTATTTTATATTTTATATATTTTATAAAATACGTATAATTATTAAAAAACTATTTAGTTATATATTTTATGTATTATAATATTAAAAAATTTAAAGATTATTTAAATATATATTTTTAACTTGCATCATCATGTTTAAAATGATCATTTACATTTTAATAGGTAAATTCTGGCGGCAATATTAAACACTACCAAATAATCCAAAAATACTTCTCGAAATGAATTTTTTAAAATACTTTTCAACCACATTTTTCAAAAGCAATGTTAAACTTGCCCAAAAGCTTGATTTGCTTAATCCCTAAAAATGGTATCAAAACATACTACAAACAATTTCATAATTAAATGAAGTTTAAGGCAATGAACAGAAACTTTTTTTCCTTACTTAACACTGATGTAGGATTCCGAGACACATCTATGAAGCTCTCTTAGAGATAGACATGTTAGCAATGAGATGAAATGTGTAGCTAATGATAAATACATGAAACACTAGTCCTGCAAAAAAAGAAAAAGATAAGCCATTGTGATTAGTATAAAAAACTTCAGAAAAACATTACCAAGACAAATCAAAACGTACCCACAACAGCAAGGATGACCTCGGGAAGCTCCAAAACTATTTCCCAGTAGCTTGGTCTTTTGGAAGCCTTAGCAAAACACATAAGCAAGCCGAAGATCATATAATAAGATTCATCTCTTAGAATATCAGAACAGATATCGATCCTCTATTCAACTAACAGTAACATTAATTGAAATTATTCTACAAATTCGGTACAACAATTATTAGTAGAAAAAACAGTATCATCTAAATATTTGTTGATTTCAACAATCATTTATATTAGCAACCGATAAGGCACTTTTCAGACGCTTGGATTGCCTTCATTACATCCTCAAAATTGCTTAATGAAGCCTTACATGAAAATTTTCAGGACCTCATATGAGGGTTGGAATGCCTACCTACAGCTACTAAAACGACTAGATGCATTTTTGTATGCCATTCATGAAATTCTTATTTATGAAATCCCATTGTTTCGTTTCTTCATTCTTGTTCTTCACTTTCCTGTCACTACTATCTAGTATCCACTCAGCAGATTTTCTCTCTTTCTTTATACCATTTTCTTGAGTCATTTTAAATTTTGTTGATACAATTTTCTGGTAATATACAATAATGTGATAATCGATGCTAACAGAACAAAATTACTCGGAGATTGACTTATTAAAAATAAGAATGTGAAAAAAGGAGACATTTTTAACCCAAAAAGAAAGAAACTAAACTCCTTACCATGAATCCTGAATACTTCTGAATGGAACAATATATGAAGAAGGAGACAACAATAGATGATGCGACCATAAAAAGTCTCAACAAATTCACTCGGCTGCGTTTTCGACCTTAAACAAACAACAAAGATATAGCATTAAACTAAAGAAATGCCAACCTCAGATATGATAATGCAAAAACATGGGAGTTAGCAAGTAACCTAATTCTCCTATCATCAATGAAATGAGACCACAAGCCATAGTTGCAATCTCAATGCCTCGGAGAGCCAAATCATTTGACGCTGATCGAAATAGAAGCAAAAATAGTCCCAACAAAAGTGTGATAGCCTACAATGAAAGAATGCTATAAAGATAAATAAAAGCATGGACATGTTGATACTTCTAAAAGATACGAAAAATTAAAGTTTCGATAACACTTGAGTCAACCCCAAAGTAAGATAAGTGGGAAGTATGTTTTCTATGAAATGTGGGAGCAGCATACCTGAACTAAGAAAAATGAGCGTAGAATAGATTTTGCACGAGCTACTTTTTGATACCCTACAGGTTAGGATCACAAACCGGAGAAATAATATGTTAATTAAAAGTCGTTGCATAAATTAAGAGGAAGAAGAAAAAAATGACAACTAGAGGTAGAACATACGGGATTCAACAACCATTCGATACGAGAAATCCGAGCCATCTGTACCAGAAGGCCTCCCCGACGCCGACACTCTCCTATGCATATCTGCTTCTTTGCCTTTTTCAACTCCTGTTTTAAGAAGAAGAAAAAAGTCATTCGAACCGTTAGGTGATGTTTTAAGAAGTCAAACTTAGAGCATTGTTAGACAGACTAGGAATTTATCCTATCAAATAGATACCATAATACAAGAAGCACACTTGATTCAGAAGTGGTCGCAGTTATCAGCGGAATGCTGAGATGGGACAAACACAAGAACCAAAATAAGATTAACTAGTTGCTTGTGTATTTTATTAAAGAATATGTGAAACACCATCAAGAGCTGTTTTGATTGACAAGTAGTATTATTATAAGGAAAGCTTAAATGCAAAAATTACATAACTCATTAAGGAAATCTGTTCTCCATGTCACTTTTTTCTCTCTTTTTTCGGTTCCGTCACTCTCATCAAAGAAAACCCTAATTTTCTCTGTAATCTCTGTATACCATTCCTATTTTCCTCTTCAAATTTTTAGATTGCCAGCAAATAATAACACAAATGGAAGAAACCGACATTTCAGAATACTTACTTCAGTCAAAACTACGGTGAAACAATTCCTGTATCAATCAAGAAATAACTATCAAGGCATGGGTAGTCAGATCTAAACGAGTAGAATGAACTAAACCCATTAAAAAGATTTTGCAATCAGGGATCTTTCGAAATCCTAAACAGAGAAAAACATGAACCAATAAGAACCTAAAAAGAAAAAAAGATATCTCTGGAAGGAAAGGAGATGGAAAAGGAAAAGGAAATTGGAGAATCAGAAGCTGCCTGTACCTTCGAATGGAAGAACACTGTGCTGCTAGCGGTGGCACCTGGTAAAGGAATAACGTAGAAATAAACGTAGAGACCAGTTTTATTTAAAATAGGAAATAAAATTTGAGTCATAATAGTAAATTAAACGTATAATTAGAATAGTTTTCTATAATTATGAAATAAAATTAGTAATTTAAATCAACATATAAGTAAAGATTAAAATCTAATCAAGAAAATTAGAACAAAGATATATACAAATACATATGATTACATCGGTAAATAAACCACAAAAAGAGATCAAGCTACTGAAAGTCCCATGATAAATCGCAAATCAAATTGAGCGACGTGAAAATCTATTCACAAACGCATAGCAGGTATCCAAATCCAATCCGATGGTCCATAGTAGGAAAGATCAACCATATAACAGATAAACGTCATCTTGATCAGTCATGGTGATGTATAATCAAAGCTTATTAAAATATAAGTAAAAACGGTCAAATGATAGAAAAAATATAAAAAAAACAAAAGAAAATGTATCATAAAGGTAAAAGAAAACGTGTCATACACATACTTATTAAAAATAAAAAGAAAAATAAAAGAACAATAACGAATATTAATAGTTGACAACCAATAATAAAATTTAAAATTAATCTTGCCGCATATCAATAAAAAAAAATAAAAAAAATAAATGGCTTACCAACAAAACAAAACAAAAAAACTATGATAGAAGACTAGGAGAGCCACTACCTTTGAAGAATAATTTATTTTTAATTTAATCGTGTATGTATCATTCATTAATTGATTAAAATGATCACATTATTCTTTAATAGTGTCAAATAAAATTAAAGCTATTTATGAAATAAAACTTAAAAAGTCACTAACAATCAATTGGTCATTTAAGATCTACTTAAATGAGGCATTAAATCACTAGTAATATCAGAGTTTCAGATGTTGGTATTTATAAATATAATAAATTAAATTACAAGTTACCTCATATTAGATCTTTGTAATATTTGATCATATCGAATATTGGTGATTATATTTAAAAAAATTTAAGTGACATTGAAAAAAAACTATAAGAGCCTAAATAGCAATCAGAACAAATTACCAATTAAACCTCTAGATTATGCCTATTCATATTGAACAAATAAGTAGATAATAATTAATTTTATTTCTTCATTCATCAAAAGAATTAATAGTGTGCCTATATTTCAATTTTAATTGTTACCCTTATTTTATTGATCATTTACATAACGTAAAATTTGAGATTATAACTGTAGAAAATAAAAGGGTTTAAAATTATTAAGAGAGAATTGGGTGGGGTAACTATAAGAAGCTACAAAGCAGTGAATACTATCACATATCCCAAATGCAGTGCTGTAATATTATAGTAGAAGGATCAAGACATAGTTAGGCACAAAACATAAGGATGAAGCAAACCAAAGATGCTATTGGTTAAGCATTACACTCTAAGTTCCATGGACAGAAGATAACTAGTTTCAGAGGAAGCTTAAGCATTTCCGACTTTACATGTCGGTGCACACAGTAACCGAAACAAATGAAAAACCAAAAGATTCTAGTATCTACAGACGGAGAATGCCCCCTCTATCAGTTGCATTCGGCTGGTAGGCTTGACATGCTAGTGCCCTGAGCGGATGTGGCCTTGAGTTGGTGATATGGTGAAGCTCGTGCTCGTGCAGTTCGTGTAATGTAAGTTACCTTTCAAGGTTCTTGGCACTCTAGCATTTGTCTGTCAAAACCATACCTCACTCTTCCTAGACCATAATATCTTGCATCAAAATCAGACAACAATCTTTCAGGATATGTCACACCATAACTATCCCACCCATATGTTCGGACCAAATCCTTTAAGTTTCTATCGAAGACCTCGGAGAATTGATTACCGTTAGGGACGGTAGGGGGCAACCCAACATGCAGTGGGATGTGATTCACAATATGGTTCCTCTGAGGATAGTTGAAACTAGAAGTTGGCTGCAGCTGTATTGGCATTGGAATGGTCTCAAAATGCCTAGATTTTTTACAGAACCCCGACCTTGTGGTTGCTTTAGCCACTTTCATAGCTCGAGGGCAAAAGCCGAATTTGAAGGTACTGCTCTCACCGAGATAAAACGGTACATCACAATCCGAACCATCCCCTCTCTTGTTTTGATAACCTGGATAATCTTCTATGTCAAAATCTACCGCTGAATCAATGCCAGAAAGCTTGCAGTAGCTAATCCCTCAAGATTCCATAGGCAATATGGATAGCTGGTTTTATGGTTTACATGAATTTCGCCATTAACTCGTAGCATGCGTTTTGCACTCCAAAAGAAACGCTGCACAAGTTGCTTATGCATCCTGTATTAGTATAATGAAATTGTGAAAAACACGGAGTGGAAGCCAAAGGGAAAACTAAATACTTTCATATGATCTCTTGATTCTTGAACACAAGCATCAAAATCTAATCTTAGAGAAACAAAATTATGAAGCAAAATAAGCACTTTACATTCATGGTATAACTCCCTCCAAATCTAAAAGGAATAAAATGTTTGATCCCCCTAATTCCTAGGACGAATTGCAGAGATTGCAGCAAAGAGACCTATGAGATTGCCCTTAGTCCAATCAAGAAAAGCGAAAACGGCACAAAGGAACACCAGTACACCACCATAATGTTGCTCGGACTCTTTGAAATAACAGTGAATGACTGCAAGAACTCTCTATATGGATGGAAAAACATATATTCGGACATATGCCCATATTCCACACTCATAGCACCACCATATTCAATACTGAAATAATGGCAATTTGCTCTACCAATTTATGTTAACTTTTAAGAGAACTTCGATAGAATTAAAAAGGATAGCAAAGACATTGATGACATGTATAGATCAAAAGATTGCCATGCATGAACACATGTCCCAAAACACTAAATACACATATGGAACACGACAAAGCAATTCCAGAAACATATATGAATTTGCAAAGAGGAAATTTACTTAATCATATCGAGATTATCTTCCTTTCCATAAAAGCCGGCATGTGGAAAGTTGAAGATGATTCGATCGAACTTTCGGTTGGCTAACTCGGTATGAAACTTCATTGTGCTTACATTCACTACATATAGCAAGGTTGCTCTTAGCTTCCCAAGATTTTCCAAATTCGACGCTGCATTCTTGTACTTTCTCTTCAAAACATCTAATTTAACCATGACATCAATAAAACGACATAGCAATACATACACATACACACACACACAAACATATATAGTCTTAAACATTATTAACCAAACCCTTTCTGGATTCTTTAAAAGGATGCATAAAAACGCTTTACAAAATTTTGGGGCTTGGTAAAATGATCAAAGAAATAAAAAATTTACAAAGAGAAAGTAAAGTTGTTTATGTACCATAGGAGTCTAGTGAAGTAGCACAAATGTTGGAGGCAGAGGCGAAAGCATTGGCCAAACTCAAAGAGAAAGAGAAATCCCCTTCACCAACTAAAAGTATTTGATGGTTTGATGAATAGTGAGCAATCCACTTCTCGTCTTCTTCATCCTTTTCTCCGTTTTCAGCACTAGGGAATTCCTTTATCGACTCTCTGGTTGCCATTGGACATCAAAGGCCACTCCTTTTCAGTTTCATAAACACTCACGAGTAAGACACTGCCTTTACTCTTTTAACTTACCCAGCAAGTTATGGGAGAAAATAAAAGGGTAAACTACACAAATGGTCACTAATGTAAAGAAGAAAAATCAACTTACCCTCTTTCTTTGTTTTGAACAGTACTACATACGATTAGATAGGGAAAGGGGAGATTTTTTGTTGGATTTCATTACGAAATTATTGGAATTGAGTTCCTTTATGTAAAACTTAAAAACAATCAAATTAAGCACTAAATTATTGTTAATTTAAAATATTAATGTACATACTAAGACTAATCTAATCAGGGATGATTCGATCGAATCGAGTTGAAAATAATGTTAAATAAAAACTAAGTTAATTAATTAGATGAGTCATGTTTTATCATTCAATTTTTATTTTAAATTTTTTTGAATTGAATCAAATTTATAAAATTAAATCAAATAAATTACTTGAATATCTATTTAAATTTGATTATAATTATTTATAATAGTATGATATAAATTATTGTAAGTTAAATTATCTTATCTAATATATATTTAAGTTGAACTATAAATGCATGATTTTTAGCTTTTATTTTTTGTGATGCATTCATCAACAATATCAAAATATAATATTTTAATAAATAAATAATAAATAAAAATTCTTTTATAGAAACAACTAGTTTTATTAAAAATAAGAAGTATAATGAAGTTTACAACCATAATTGAAAAATAAATACTTGATTAGAGCATTTTTTATAATCATTGACACAAGAAATTAGATACTTATATTAAAGACCATCAACCAAAAATTATTGAAATATCATTGACAAATCGTAAATTAGAGTCATGTGACGTGAGAAGACTATCCACAACTAGGGGTGTAAACGAGCCGAGTCGAGCTCGAGTATTGCTGAGCTCGAATCGACTCGAAAACTCTGAAATGAGGCTCGACTCGACTCGAAACTCGTGAGCTTAAAATTTTTAAGCTCGACTCGAACTCGAAATCCTGAACTGAAGCTCGTGAGCAGCTCGAAAAGCTCGAAATGAAGAAAAAAATCTTAAACTTAAATAGATTTAAGTTTCAAACTCAAACTCGAACCTAAACCTTAAATACATGAAAGTTTTTTTTAAAAAATCATCACATAAATGTTAATATTATTAATATTTTTTTTAAATATTATATTTTCGAGTTGCTCACAAACTTTTCGAGTCGAGTATCAAGTAGCTCGTTTCGGCTCGTTAAGAATTTGAGTCGAGCTCGATTCGAGTCCATTCATTTCGAGTATTTATCAAGCCTTGACCGAGTCGATCTCGAATAGCTCGATCTATCTCGTCTCATTTACAACCCTATCCACAACTATAAATAGAGTACTATAATCCAATTTATGAGTTTAAAACATGAAATATCAATATAATAATAAATAAACGCCATTTCAATCAGTTAAAGTGATGCCAAATCCAAATATAGGCAAAATATAAACAAAAATAACATACCAAATGATTGATAACATGTCAAAGATGGGAAAAAAACGTATCATAAAACTAGTGCTATTAAAAACTAAAACACAAAAATATCAAATATGTAATATAAAAAATAAAAAAATATAAACTATCAACTGTCGATACTAAAACTGATATTGTAAGCTGTTAGTTAAAGAAAAAAATGACACATAATTGTAATTCTAACAAATAGTTTTTGTAGTATTAGTTCATGCAAGATTTGCATAGCGTAGTTATGCGTAACTAAATGTTCAGTATGGTAATATTGGACAGTCCATGGAAGATGATCATATAACATATATTATATACTCTCTCTCAAAATTATAAATAATACATAATAATGTTTTAATTTCACTCTTAAAACTAAAAATTCTCAAATTTAATTGGTTAAAAGAAGGGAGTGCTATTTTTCATAAAAAATACGGGTTTAAACAGATGCATTTATAGATAAAAATATATAAATAAATATTACTTATAATCATTTCAAATTATTAAAAAAAATATAAATTAAATAATAGTCAACGTAACATTTTAGATAAGCAATGAAAATTAAAAATAATAATAAGATAATGATCACCCGTACAGTTTACTCTTAAAAATAATAATAAGATTAGGCAGGTTTCCATAAGTTTTCATCAATCCCCTATGTCAAACGTACACGTAAAGGCCGTTAACATACTTATGGTTAAATCAAAAGGAAAACAATATTAGTTGGCATAAAAATGGGGTTACAACTAGAGGAAAGTATGAGAGGGACTTGGGGGCACATTGCCTTATATATTTAGGGTTTTAAAAGAGGAAAGATTAACATTTTATAAATATATATTAATTATAACATAATTATACATAAATTTATTTATAACATTAATTAAATTATATTAATTTTATAAAATATTTATCATCTCTATTACAAAACTAAAAAGAAATTTAAATAACAAAATCGATTAATTATAACATAAATGATAATATATTTATAAAAATGTATACGTATACTACACGTTTAATATCCAACTATCAATTTTGTTTCGTTTTAGTCACTCAATAATTTTTTAAAGAAATCATACTTAATGTTACGCTTTAGTTTTATTTTGGTCACACACATATAAAATATTAATAGAACTGCTAACGTGACATTTTTATAACTTTTTCAAAGATAATGTAACATTATCTTATGGTGACACGTCATCGTCGTCAATAATTTTTTTGTTGCCCTCTCGGTACCCTAGTGCTTCACCCCGACTAATTGGAACCGACCAGTGTCACATACCTAGATTTGGTGGGTGAGTTTCCCGACAGAGATTTGTTGCATACACAATACTTTGAACTTGAGACACACTTAAGCAATACCAAACTGCTTACCACTTGAACCAACCCCCGTTTGTAGCATCATCCTTAATTTTTTAACTGTAAGTGATAGAAAATAAAACCAAGACTAAACATAAAGTATAATTTAAAAAAAAATAGTTGAATGATCAAAATAAAATAAAATTAATAGTTATGGTACTAAATATTCAGTTTACTCAAAATATATTTACAGCCTACACTAAAGATATTGAATGGAACGTAGAAACCAAGGTGTTGTTTGTTCCCAACAAACCTTACAGTAAGTGACGTCGTCTCTAAGCAAAACTCTCTTAGATTAAACCGTCCCCACTTCTAAGCACCTCCGTAAGGGTAGGAAGACAATAAATAAACGAAGGGTATCATCAATTTATTTATTTTTATTTTCAATTTATTCATAAAAACATAAAATATTTTCATTTAGTTTTAAAATATATATTGTTAAAGAAAACCATTTTACTATAAATTGATAGTAGGTTTTGATAGGAATTAAACGATCTCAATGATAAAAAAATTATTATTATTTTTTAAGATATTAAGTTAAAGCATCATAAATACTAAAAGTATGAATTTTCGATATCAACTAATTAAAAATTATCTTTTAACAAATATTTTATTATAATTATAAGTATTAATAAAAAACTAATAATACAACAAACCACCTACTACTGTAATAAGCCAAGAGCCGAGCTGCAGAACCGGGGAAAACCCTTAAACTAGGTCGCACTTCGTGGATCCAACGTGGCTTTCGAGGCTGAGTTGAGTTTTACCTGATCACTACGCGACAAACTCGCTTTGTCCTTTTAAATAGCTTTTGCTGTCTTCTTCTATTCCATTCCTCTTTGGAGAATTCGTACAATCGCAGTGTTTCCATGCAACGTCCTTCCCCTCCTTCAATTTCCTTTTATTCTTAATTTATTGGATTTTCTTTCATAGATGGATTTTAATATTTAAATATATTTTATTTAAAAAAAATCTTAAATTTTAGATAAAATACACAAATAGTTTTTCGAGTATAGGACGTTATTTTGTTTAGTCATTTGACTATTAAAATTTATAAAATTATCATATGACTATTCATTATATTCTAAACTTGTCATTTTCCTTTTAAAAAATAATTGTCTGAGTTTGAAGTTAATATGCTGATTGTGATATAATAATCGTTTGAGATTATGAGATCGGATTTTATTATATCTCAGTCAATAAGTTAATGTCCAACTCAAATTATCGTTCATTTTTTAACAAAAAAATAAGTTTATAACATAATGAATAGTCGATTGATCATTTTATAACTTTTAATAGTCGGAGACTCAACAAAACAACACCCTATAGTTAGGGACTATTTTATAACTTTTAATAGTCGATGAATTCAACAAAATAATTTCTTATAGTCGAGAGATCATTTATTAGTTTACTCTAAATTTTAACTCTACACATTAAATCTTAAATCTTATACCCTAAAATTCAATATTTGAGGTTTGGACCTTAAATAATATTTACCTTCAATTTTACTTGGAACTTCTGATCTCTGCCTGCTTCTGTGATTGGTAATAAAATGCTAATAGAGATGATAAAAACAAATAAATATCTACATTTGAATTTTGAATAAATATTTAAAAATTTGAATATTTTATCAGACTTTATAATTAAACTATTTTCAAAATAAATATTCAATATATATGAGTATGGACAACTGAATTATTATTCATAAAATGATATTTAATAATGAATTTAAATATGTATATACACAAAAAAGTAAAGCAGATTCCTATAATAAAATATTGAAAAAAAATTCTAATTCATTGGATGATAATTACCCATTATATAATCGTTCGGATATTATCTGAATTTAAAAGATATTAATAGAATAACACATAAGTATGCGATTTATTATTATCCCTAGTCCATACTTTATTGTCACAGTTTTTAATACAACATCAATTCAGTTAAAAATATTTATGCTGATTGTTACTCGTAAAATTTATTCTGGCAAGTGAAGGTAGTATTTGAATGACCTGTATTAAGAAATATGCGTTGAAGGGTGAGGATTGCAGGTATGATGCCTGCAAGCCTCACTTCGGTTGAACCATGAGGAAGTTGACGAAGTTAAAGGTTGAAGCCGAGAACTTGTTTACCGGGGTGTGAACTGGTCCTTAGTTAATACTAATAGTAGACTCAAACCTTGTTAGTTAAGTCCAAGATCTATTTTTCAAAGAGTATCTCTATTAATTTTTAACGATCGGTAATAAACATAAAATAAATAAGGGTTTTTTATTTATTTAAAATAAATAAATAATTATTTTTAATATTTTTTTTAAAATACACTTTTTTTTAAAAAATAAAAAAATAGCTCAAAATTTCAATACACATGGGTATCCAAATTCCAAGGAGAAAACCAGCGGACAATGATGGTTAGGTGGCTAGTTACCAAACAACCAGCTATTCTCTTTGCATTTTGAATCATTGAAAGAAACAAAAGCTCAAACCTGGGACTCACAGAGATCAAAGCCAAAGACGAATTTGATATTTGTCTCTCATCCTTCTTAAGAATCTCCGTTCTCTTCCCTTCTCTTCGTTTATTGGACAGTTGTTTTCTTTGTTTTATACCAAAAAAAGAACAACACTTTACCACTCTTTCTTATTATTTATTCCTCACTTGTTGCTGCCAATACCAGATAGCTTTCTCTCATTTCACTTGTTTCTGTTATTTTATCCGAGGAACAATGGCTTTCTCTTCTCTCATCAGATCCACTGCCGCCGCCGCCGCTCCTCTCGTCGAAGTCTCCGCCCGCTCTGACGTCTTTCTCTCACCCTCTGATCGCCTCAAGGTCTTTCACTTTCCCCCGATTACCTCAAATAGATCTTTTTTTTTTGTTTTAAAGGAAACAAAAGAAAGACTGAGCTAAAGCTAAGCTGAACGAGTATTAAGAATTGATTTATCTTTGTGATCCATGTTTCTATTTAGTTAAGAGGTGCAGATATTGATTTTTTTAGTCACGCTTAGTTTGTTTGATTGATGAGAAAACAATAAAACATTGTTTGATTTTAATTAATTTTAATTCTGAACGTGATCGTGTTGAATAAATTATTGGTAGTAAGTTGAATGATCATGCCTGTGCAGGTTTCAAGCATTGGTTTTGGTGGGAATCTCAATTCCAGTTTTGGTGTTGCAGTTTCAACTAGGTCTTCTCCACTGCAGTTAATTTATTCTACATTGGCTTTTCAATATTTTCTTCATTGTGCAAAATTTTGGCCTTTTGTTGGCATGTTTTAAGAAAATATTCATCTGTTTAGGAAATGCTACTCAAGGAGTATACAACCCATCAAAGCCGTTGCTACTGAAATTCCTCCCACAGTTCCAAGTAAGTGTTCTATATACTAATGAAGGGTAGAAAGAAAAAAAAGAAGCTTAGTTATTTGTGTTCAAACCTGTATGTTCTGATCCTCTGCTTTTGACTTATTTCTAATTTGTCTAGGATCACGGAATAGCGGCAACACAAAGATTGGAATCAATGGTACGTTCCCTTATTTGGATTATGCCTTTATTTTATTTTATAATTGTATCTATCTTAATCAGGTTGTTTCATTAATCTTCAAAGAAAATGATTTTACCTTCAATTAGCTTGCGCATTTAAGTTGATGCAATTATTATTGCAGATACAAAGAATTAGTTTCCTAGGCTTAATTTATTATGGAAGGGAGGATGGGGATTTGGGCACATTTGAAAAAAAAATGTTTACAGAACTGCAGTTCATATATGCTATTATAGTATGTATGATTGGAAAGTTTCATAAGTAACATATGCGCAAATTGAAACCCCTTCGATGTTAACACTATTTAGATTCTTTACAGTTTATAATATTATTAAGTTTTATGCTTTCAATCACTCATTTTTCATAATGAACCTTCACAGGTTTTGGTCGGATTGGAAGGTTGGTCTTACGAGTAGCAATTGTAAGGGATGATATCGATGTAGTAGCTGTCAATGATCCATTTATTGATGCTAAGTACATGGTAAGCTTGTCTAGTTTCACTTGTTGGTTCGATCTAAAGTTTCATTCAAGGTATATTTCTTTCATGAATCAAGAAAGCCAGTATTGCACTGTTTTTTTACCTGAACTATTACATACAATATCACTTTGATTTGTTTTACTGTATGGATTTACCGCATTTTTAATGCAATATGGAAACAAAGAGAAAAATGATTTGAAAATAAATTACGTATTAAGAATTTAAGGAAATGCTATACAATCACTCTTCCTCCACACATACACTCAACTACTACTAAATGGTGGCTGACCCCTTTGCGGAATTAAGAACTGAGTATTTCGATTTATTATTAGAACAGTGATCACCGGCTGGTACAGCCAGAACCAGTGCAGAACCAACTTCCATGGTATTAATACTGGTTTTACCACGTGTTTAGATTTCTTACTCGTCAATTGCCTTTTGTATTGGATTTATACATTCAACTTTATTCTATCCAATTTGGACAACTGGAAACATTTTGAGCCCAGATATTAGCATACTCTATCTTGCTTCTACCTTTCTTTCCTTTTTCCTGTAACAAAGCCGTTTCATCTTTCTTTTTCTAGAACCTTTATTACCTCGTCTCTAGTTGTAGAGTTGTTGCCCGCCACGAGAGACCATCCCTGACAGGTTTTACACAGATATCCCATACCATTGTCTGTGTTGTATTGCGTGATCATAAATGACTAGTCCGAGCAGAAAAGGTCAATAAAAGCTAAATTTCTACGACTTTTTCCAAGTTAAGTTGGACACCTAGATTTTAACTAGTGAGAGAGCTAACTATTACTAATTTTGTGTTATAACCCTTTCACTAAAGGTTAGCTATTTGTAGTTTTTATCACTTTCTTTGAAGGCTAGCTTCCATTTTGTGGTGTCCTTGGACGATAATAGCCCCATATCATGTCTGAATACGTGCTGGACACAAATATCTAAAGAAAAAGAGTCGGGGCAACATAGGTTCAGGATCTGCACATTTTGAATCTTTGCGTGGGAATTGGAATTTTTAGGCTTCTGTTTGAGTTATGATATTTCTCCTGGTGTCACAATGAAAGCAACTTTATGTCTACCATAAATGATCAATACTCATTATTATCATTATGCTTATTCTGTCTCTGTAGCTTGGGGTGTTGGATGGGTGGTTATTGTTTGGGCTAAAGGTTCTTTTTCTTTGGCTATTCTGTTCAGTACATACCAGGATAACTGCCCTTATTATTCTTCTGGTCATCAGAAATTGTTGCAATTTACTAATATTTTTATTAAATTCAGGCTTACATGCTTAAATACGATTCTACTCATGGAGGCTTTAAGGGAACCATCAAAGTTGTGGATGAATCCACTCTGGAAATTAATGGCAAGCAAATAAAGGTTGTAAGCAAAAGGTATTATTCTTAGTACTTTTCCTTTAATGATCTATTGGAATTAGCTTATCTACGAATTGCAACATAGAATCATGTAATTTGATTTTATTAAAAAACTAGTGATTTACTATTAAATCATCTCAACTTGAGCTAACATTTAAACAATATCGACTAGGGACCCTGCAGAGATCCCTTGGGGTGATTATGGGGCTGAGTTTGTTGTCGAGTCATCTGGTGTTTTTACAACATTAGCTAAGGCCTCGGCTCATTTGAAGGTTAGTTCTCTAAGGTCTTTGATTCCCCCCCCCCCCCCGTTTTGCATGACCACATTAATAGAAACACATTACAAGCACATTTGTGAGTGCATGCATTTTGTAAAATGCTCCAAATTTAACTTTAGTGAACCTGTCCTGCAGGGTGGTGCCAAGAAAGTTGTAATTTCAGCTCCATCAGCTGATGCGCCTATGTTTGTGGTGGGAGTAAATGAGAAGACCTACAAGCCAAGCATGGACATAGTGTCTAATGCTAGTTGCACTACCAATTGTCTTGCTCCTCTTGCCAAGGTCTACTTGCATCCTCAGATTTTAAGCTTTATTTTTCCATCGTTAAATGTTAATGGTCACAAGTCACGTGGTAAAGTACGGAAAATTGTGTTTTTTTGGTAAGATTCTGCTTTTGTTTGTTTTGTGTTCATGGTGGTTGACAATTACGTATGCCTGCATTTGACATTATTCCTTTGTTGAGGGTAGACAATTCCATCTTCCTGTTTTAAGTTCAAGGCGGATGGTATAAATTTTTCTTTTTGGCAATTTTCCTTGGTTTTTGTGGTAACATGTTGCAGGTGGTTCATGAGGAATTTGGTATTGTTGAGGGTTTAATGACAACTGTCCATGCAACTACAGGTATCCGGTTATCATGTGCCCCTCATTCATTAGATAACTCGTGATGTTGCATTGTTATGATAACATGGTAGTTTATAAAATCCAGCAACACAAAAGACGGTCGATGGCCCTTCAATGAAGGATTGGCGAGGTGGTCGAGGAGCTGGGCAAAATATCATCCCTAGTTCAACTGGTGCTGCAAAGGTATGAGACGATATAAATGACCAGATTTATAATTCCAGCACAGTTTTTCTGAAACAAAACTTTAATTGTAATTTTCCTTGTAGGCTGTGGGAAAAGTTCTTCCAGAACTCAATGGAAAGCTTACTGGAATGGCATTCCGTGTCCCTACATCCAATGTTTCTGTTGTTGATCTAACTTGCCGACTTCAAAAGAGTGCCTCTTATGAAGATGTCAAAGCAGCCATAAAGTGGGGTTTCTAACTTGTGGCTGGAGTATCCTCCGTGTTCACATCTCTATTTTGTTTTTGTTTTTTCTTTTCTGCTAACTGCTTGATTATATATCACATTTACCGAGATTCTTTTATCTTTTTATTATAGGTATGCTGCAGAGGGTCCACTTAAAGGCATTCTTGGATACACAGACGAGGATGTTGTCTCAAATGATTTTGTTGGTGATTCGAGGTATTTTGTCATTTTCTATCTATTGTACACACCCATCCCACATATGCCTTCTGTTGTGATGTAACACGAGACGTAAAGGCCTATTACAATTGAGTAATAATGCTCGCTTATATACCAGAACCAATGCTAAGTTCGATTATCTAGGATTGCTGTATTTCAAGGCTTCTATGTTTGCTTCATTTAGATTTTGCTATCGGAACATAATGGAATTAAATGTGTTTTTTCCTTCTTAATTGATGATGGCATTTAAGGTCGTAACGAGTTTATCTTGTAACAGGTCAAGTATATTTGATGCAAAAGCTGGAATAGGGCTGAGTGCTTCGTTCATGAAGCTTGTTTCATGGTACGACAACGAGTGGGGTTACAGGTACGATTTCCTCTCTCATTCAGTCATCCAAACCTTTCATTACTCGCGTGCACGTCACGTGCAGCCACACGGATACACAGACACACCAGACTGATGCATATATTCGGATAATTGTTCTGTATTTGAAAAACAAATCAGCTTGTCTAACAGTTTCCAAAATTTTATTGCAGCAATCGGGTTCTTGACCTAGTAGAGCACATTTCACTGGTGTTAGCAACGCACGACTAATTATATGGGGAGGGAAGATGTTACTGAGCATGCTAGAAGTTTGTTTTGGAGAATACACAATTTCCACAATAATTGAACAGAATTGTTTGTTCTTCTTTTTTCTTTTTTATTGCTTGTCCATGTAAGAGTTGAGCAGCCCATAATACGAGTCTGAAACAATGAAAAATACGAGTCTGCAACATGGTTGAAGTAGCATCTTTTAGCTTTATCTTTGTCAAAGGGTTGTATCTTTTATTTTAAATTCCAAGGAAAATTATACAATCATTCTTCCTACACACGTGCACTCAACTCCATCTACTTTTAAATGGTAGGATGGTCCCTTATTTATAATCAAATTATTTTGATTATATAGATTTTAAATGTAAAATACTCATCAATACATTTCACAAATATAATCCATCATTGAAAAATACAAAATAAATAAATATATGAATCATTCTATACATTAATATTACTTATTAGCTTTCACTTATTTAAAATTCAAAGATTATTGATTTGAAATAATATTTAACGATTCAATGATTTGTTTGTAATAATATTTTAATTGAATGATTAAATTGTAATTTTTTTTAAAAAAAATTATAATTATTTGTAACTTGACTAATAATTGAGTGATCTAGAATGTAGTTTACCATAAATGATTTATATATTTTTTGAATTGTCTAGAGTGATTATAATGTATTATTTGTTCAGAATTTTCTTAATCAGTTGATAATATACACACACTCTTGTAGGTGTATTTGCTCAAATCCCGATTATCTAAGAATACTAACATTCTATTTTATCACTAATATCACTCAATGAATTCATCCTAAACAATTTATATATAAACCCATTAATCTAAGGTTTATAAATTAGAAATAATGACGAACTACAATAGCAAGTATCCTATGTAACTTGAAAAAAAATCTCATGATTTTATCTTAAAAAAATTCTCAAATTGTCTTTTAGTGGTAAAAAGAAATGTTGTTTTTTCTAGAAATAATGGGTTCAATCCATAATGTTTGTAGAATATATATAAATTGTCAATTAATTAAGAAAATTTTAAATAAATGTTACTGTATAATTGATTCAGACTATTAAAAAAATCATTGTAGATTTATATATTTTTTTATTTCTATAAAGATCGCAATGATTTGAATATGGTTCAGTGACCTATGATGTAATTTACCTTAAAACATGCTTAAACTGAATTGCGATCAGGTCCAGCCCAAGTCATAGACAGAAGAGAAAATGAAGGGATATTTAGGTAATTCAGATAACACAGGCAATATAGATATAGCATAAAGCCCTAGCTCCCTTGAAATCTTTTATATATTGGATTCTTTCCTCTCCGACCGCAGCAAGCATATTTCGCAAACAGGAAGAGGCGATCTCCGCCGTAGCAGAGAAATAAATCGAGACAATGGAAGCAGCTAGAACTGTTAAAGACGTTTCCCCTCATGACTTCGTCAAAGCTTACGCCGCCCATCTCAAGCGTTCCGGCAAGGTATTTTTTCACTATCTTCTCCATTTAAAGATGTAATTAAGTTCTTTCCTTAGTCTGTGATTCTGGATCTGCTATGTATCTTTGTTTTTTTTTTCCTGAAGATTGAAGTTTTTTTTCTTCAAATCTTTCTTTGTTCTTAAGATCGAGCTCCCTCCGTGGACTGACATTGCCAAGACTGGTAAACTGAAGGAGCTTCCTCCTTACGACCCTGATTGGTATTATATTAGAGCCGGTATGTAGATTTATAGCTTACTTTATCGGCCGACGCTAATGCGGTATTGTATGCGCATTCTATATGAAAGTTATATCCTGCTGCTTTGTAGCTTCCATGGCAAGGAAGATATACTTGAGGGGAGGTCTTGGTGTTGGTGCCTTTAGGAGGATTTATGGAGGGGCTAAGAGAAACGGGAGTCGCCCACGTCATTTCTGCAAGAGCAGTGGATCCGTTGCGCGCCACATTCTTCAGCAATTGCAGAATGTGAATATCATCGATATCGATCCTAAAGGGCGAGTTTTCTTTACTACCGTCTTTTTTGTTTGCAATGATCATCTGATTGCTACTGCAATTAATCATATGTTTGTATTATGATAGTTGGTCATGCCTAACAGCGAGTTTAAATGGGAAATCAATTTTGCTTGCAGAATCATTCCTTATTCGAATAGATACACACATACGTCTACCCTAATTTATCTTTTCAATTTTCTTACCAAATTGTGCACAATGTCTGACCTGTATTTTGACATGGTAGAGTGATACTATCATATGAACACATTAAACTTGTCATATTAGATGCATACTTGTATTGAACATTCACCTCCCGAGTGCAAGTAATATAGTAACTATAGATTTTGAAAAGTAGATCCTTTCTTAAGGAGAAACAAATGCATCAGACAATAAATTATCCGTAGTCAGTCATTGCCTTTTAGGCTGTTAGCTGTTTTTGTACTTAATAAGATGAACTGAAGTTCATGTGGTGTATCAGTGGAAGGAGAATCACATCAAACGGCCAGCGTGATCTGGACCAGGTAGCTGGAAGGATTGCAGTTGCCATCTGAGAAATTTTAAGAGAGCTGTTGTTGGAGGATTTGTTGAATCAATTTTCGTCTTCATTTGTACAAGTAGGGTGTGTTAAGCTTGATCATGGTGAACTTCTGAATTCCAATGAAAATTTGTACTACATGTTTTGTTTTCATTCGCACTGGATTGTCCGGCATTAAAACCTTAGTTCTGATGCAATTTTGTGTTTTAAAGGTCTTTTTTATATTTACTTTATGTTTATGTTCAGAAGTTACACAATTGAATTAAATATATACGTATGTAGAGTATTTATAATCTATTGTCGAGATTTTTTAAAAATTGGTTCAATATTTCCCCATATCAAATTAGCATTTGAATTTGATTTTTTTTCTTCTTTCAAATCGATTTATGTTTTGATATAGTATCTCAACAGCCAATCATTACTACAATTTGAGAAGTTTTTCAGGTTTAGGTATCAATTTGAGACTTCTTTTTTCATTTGAGTTAAAAAAATGATATTATTATTGATACTTGCTTGAAAGTTTGATTATCAACTAAAATTGAGTTTTCAATTCTAAAACATTTTAAACAGATAAATTTCAATGATTAAAAATATAATTGAAGTTATATTATATATAATGACAAAATTGAATAAATTATTTTCAAATAATTTTATATTTTCTCAATCAAACATTGTGATTTATATTTTAGTGAAATAAATCCAATAATACAATGTAACATTGTTGTAGTTCTATTCTTAGATATAATCTTACATTTTGTGAATCAATCATATTTTTTTATATAAAAATAAACTAAATATCAATCGAGGAAAATAATACCCAAATTCATATACCAATTTATATAACAAAGCTTTACATATTAGTATATTGTTTTGTGTATTTTTTTACCTTTTGTTTTACGTATGTTTGGCACATTAATTTAATTTTAATTATTTTCTATGTAACATTCATATGACGCCTTATATCAGTTTATGTTTTTATATTTATTCATCTGTTACCTTTTTTTAATGTTAAAAGCATTATAAACTTTTTTAATCATTAACATCGCACGCACGTCTTATAAACATTGCAACCACACCTTATAAATGTAGTTGCTCAAATTCAAAATAACATTCTCTTTAATAATCAAACAGTAAATCTACATGATTTTTTTAATGTAGATTTCACTACATTTATGTACCTATGTTGTGTCACACTTCCTCAATTTTTTTTAATGTAGATTTCACTACATTTATGTACCTATGTTGTGTCACACTTCCTCTATTAATTAGAACTTTATCCATCTACGGAATAAAGTATCTTCGACCAATATCTAGAGAGCGAGAGAATAGATCATTTTTAATGGTAATCTTCATGTAATCGTAAATCATCATGAAAAATATAATTTCCAAGCCTCAAGAACGAAACCTAGAAGTTTAATTTAAAAGAAAATACGTATATAATGACAAAATATCAACAATCCCATGGAGTAAAAATGGGTACATTTTGTCAATCGAAGTTCATATAAAAACCACATGAGTTCTTCTGCATCATATTTTCAGAAGACCAAGACTTACCAACACAAACTATGCAGCAGCTTTCATCGTTTTTGGTTCCAATCAGTCATCGACTGGGCATTTGAATTGATTCCGTTCTCGTTCAAGTATTCCACAAATTCGTCTATGAGATACGGCCATGCGCCTTCAGCATCGTAATTTGATAGTGAAGGGTCAATTGTCTGAATCGCAATGTCACATTAAAAGAATAGCCCATGCACTTGGTACACATGTTCAGTTACATCACATGCAGTTTTGACTCTCCGAAAAGGCATTCTCTGCAAATCCTTATCTCACTACTTCGGGAAAGGATTTCACTCGGCAATAAACTAATAGATTTAGTACGTTTAGCCTGGAACTATAAAACCTTACCCGATGACTTTCGGACTGTCTTTCTTGATTGACTACTTGAAAACTCTTCTGGAATTCGAACAACCATATTGTAGCTTTAGAATATTGACAATCCAGTCTCTTAGATCTATACCAATGTACATGACATACAACTCGAGTCTCTTGCGATATGGGGGTATTCGATATCGAGTCTTGACTCTTGAGTAACGGAACCATGCACGACACAATGGAGTTAGTGCAACATAGTCAGGCACCAGCACTAAGTTTTCTAATAAATTGCAGTTGATGACAAAATAAAGCTGATCCAAACGTATATGCAAACAGGATTATCTAAGAGATGGTGATATTGAAGATTTTATAACTTACCCTAGCAAACGCCAAAAGTTGAGGCCACGTGTCCCTAGAGATTGCTTTGTTATGTCGAGCCTGGTTCAAATGGCATCATGGCAACAACTGCAATTACAAAACAACTACAAGTAGAGATTGATGCAGAAGAAATGCAAGAGAAATAGTAAAATTTTATAATATCAGGGAAAACTTGAGCAGTTTTATGGAGCGTATCATCTATGCAAAAATTGCATCTTTTATAAAAGAAATAATATAAAAGCACAAGTTCCTGTCTTCTAAATTTTCGGCCAAAAGTTAATGATAAAGATATTCCTAGAATAACAACCATCTAAGAGATCAACTTAATTATAAGAAAGAATAGACCTTTGTAATTATGAGTTATCACCTTTTGCAGCAGAAATGTCACGTCTGTTCATAATTTAAAAATGAATATTATACCTTAGAATACCTAAAGAATAAAGTTCAATTTATTGCAGGTCAATTAAAAATGATTACTAGCAAATTAGTGACTACACTATTACGTAAAGAGCACAATATGTTCCAGAGGAACCTGTAAGAACCGGCACCAATGGTCCACCAATGGCCATTGCTTCTCAGCAAACAACAATTGCCACATACCAATTGCAGTATCCAATGCCAAAGATTTCTGACCCTGAGACAAACAATAAAACATTAATATTTGCATACAGCTTAAGTACCTATTATTATCTGGGCAATGCCTTTTTTCAGCGCAATGACATTCTAGTTGGAATTCTAAAAGCATCAAATCATCAATTTCAAAGTACACTTATTTTTTTTTGGGAACAATTTCTACCTAGGGAGAGGGGGAAAGGGGAATTTGCTACTAATGGATATTGAACCCACAACCTAGACGAGAGGGGAGGTGTCAGCTGAAAGCTTTTAACCACTTGTTCTAGAGATTGTTGACAAGTGCACATATTTTTCAAATATATAGCAGAGAAACAAAATGAAGCTGAAGGCCAAAGCTTTGACTTTTGTAACAACCAGAAACGGATCTAATACAGGAATAACCATGCCAAGATTCGGGAAGATAGCCTCTGACAAGAAAAAGAACACCATTCCAAAAAAAAATCTTCATGCTAACAAATTTGACCAAAACCATTCACTCAATTGTTGGCAAGCTCTCTCTCTCTCTCTCTCTGCCAAGACAAAATATACTACTAATCAAGGATGGTTGGCATGAAAGATGGTATACCTTTTCTTTTGCCCAGCCAAATGCAAAGTTGTATATCTCACCAAACTTTTCTGCAGTCAAAAGAAGCAAAAGATGAAAACAAGTGTGTATTACCAACAACACAATATGTTTACTATTATATGACCCCCAAAAAGGAAAATGTTTACTTTCAGAGTCACAGCATAATAACAAACCTAACCTATAAGAAGCTAAATGCAACATGTACGACAAGCGAAAATAATTTTAATTTGAACACTGATATTATACTCTATAAAGCATTGATCATACGTTCATCTTTAAGTTCAGAGCGCATGAATGGTATCCTCTCACGAAACTTTCCCAAAGAATCTATCCTGCCATGAAAATTGTATTTCTTTCAGCGCTATCTTCATAGTAGGTCAAATGTCCAACAATTCCATTTCAAATTAGAAAATTGTGAAAAACAGAAAAAATATAAATACTTACCCCAGTGCCTGCAACCCAGTGAAGAACTCTTGCTTGGAAAATTCACACATTGTAGAAGCCTTCATGTGCAATGAAAGAACTAACTGCAATTTACTGCATTATTAGCATGGCTGTCCACAAAATATTGGAATCAGATAGGAACAATTTGTAAATATAAATTGGCATCTTGTCAAACCTCCTACAAGGTTACAACTATTTATGATGATATCTTTCTAGTTTTAGTACAACATATATTCTCAAATTCTCAAAACCTATAGTCATTTTCATCAGTCATTACCATAAGAGATTGAGCTAGCCAGAAGTGGTGAGTGAAAATTCAGAATCCTACAATTCTTCTACCTCATTAGCTTTTGTTAAAGCTAAGACCTTGTTCTCACAAACTCTAAACAGAAAGCCATTTAAGTTAAACCCGGTACTTGAAAAGATAATTTATAAAGAATTTTATCACCATCTGTCAAGACTACTACAACTATATCTGTAAATTTTGATGCGGTCAATGCACACATGCAGTGTAAAAGATAAGTGGCAAAGAGACAAAGTAACCAAGAACTTCTGCCAAATTCCAAAACCTTTGTTAAAACTTTGGAACCTTGACAAAATGTAAGCTAAAGCAGATAATATACATGCAGAATCATAATATTGTTTTTCTTCATATGAATGCCTTTTATCACAAATGGTTGTGCTTTGGGATGCAGACATACCATAACAATATCTTGAGAATCCACCTGTCAGGGAAAAAAAGGTTCCCACATCATCAAATTTTGAAATAAACATAATTTTATCTACATTTGAAATAATAGAAAAGCAAAGCAAATGGGTCAGAATGTCACATCAAAGCTTAATTGATAAAAAAAGCTACCCGAATCTCATTGCATAGAAGAGTAATACCATCAGTCAGTATCATAACTGTGTAGGGATCTGAACAAAACATTTAAGTGTTCTTATGAAAGGAATCATACAGGGTAATACATAAATGAAAAGTAGCAGATAATGACTTCATGGATTTCACAAAACCAAAATAAGAATATATCAATATCTCCAATAAACAAGAGAAATTCATCAGTATTCTCTGTTAATCTTGCATCTACAGGACTAAAACATAACCAAAAATACGGCAAACCTCTATTCGCACATTTATAGTATTATCTATATTTTAATGGCACTAAAGAAAGGCATATAGAGTGTACAAAGTGCAAATTGGGAAGAGAAAAAAAAAAGATTAAAAAAACCACTCTTGCCTTTATATCTGTTATAAAGCTCTTCCATATGTCTAGTATCAGGATAACTTTTACTTTGTGGTTGGCTGTAGAAAAAATCAAAAGCTCCTTCAAGATGCCAATCACTGGCCTTCAAAGCTTGAAGAGCAGCTTTTTCACTGCAATTAAATAAAGAAATGAGTAAAATTCATGAATAATAGAACTGAAAGTGAGAGCATCACTAACGCATTATTTCAAACTACAGAATATGTTTAATCAAGTTTTTCAACTAATAAACAAGATAAGAGGAAAAAACACACCGGTGGTATTTACAATAGCGACAAAACGTACATTAAATTGAGAAGGAATTTATGGAATCAGAAATATGATAGGATTCTGAAGCAATCATGAAAAGTTCAAGTTTAGAAAGGAACATAACAGAAAATTTACATTACAATAACAAAAGAGAAATGATTCATATAGATCTTAAAAATATATAATAAGGATTAAAGGGTATTTTGAAAATTTTAGGATCATATGGGCTTTTATAAGTTGTTGCAAAGCTAGTGTTTTTAAGAAGCACACATTGTGAGGTCTCCATAACAATAGAATATATTTAATCTAGTTTTGTCCAACAAATGATGAACAAAAATAAACGGATATCACACCCATGGTATTCAAAACAGGCACAAAAAGTTGTTTAAATTGAAAAGGGATGTATAATACTAGATTATAAGGTACGATTCCTAATCAATCTAAAGAAGATCAAGTTTTAGAAAAGAAAGCACAGAAAATATTTATATTACAAAGTGGCAAGAGTAAATAAGCATAGAGTTAATATGTTTGTGAAGGTGAGGTGTTTGTAGAAGAATGACATATGGAGTTAGGTTGCAATTTAGGAAAAAAACTATATAAAACTGATTATTATACAGCTAGAAACAAAATATATCACGTTTGAACGCATGCAAGTTTATATTTAAGTAAACATAAAAATCATTGAAGGGGTAAAAGGTAGTTAAAATTTCAAGTAAAACAATGGGTACATTAAGGCAACATACAAATTAGAGAAGTTAACTTTCTTAATGACCATAATCAGATGGTATTAGAATAGGAACATGATAATAGACAAATGAAAACTTTTAAATTCATTCAGAAAGTTGGTATTTTTCGTTCAACAGGGAAGCAACCGCTAGTTCGTTACCAATGTCTTCAAAAAGCCAAAAAAAAAAAAGTGTGTGGGACCATCATCTCATCGGTTGAGTCTATTACAGGCCACCAAGACAAAAATAGGGAAAAAAACATTCTTGCCAATTAGAAAAGAGAAGACTTCTAAAACCATTGTCTCATATGATGAATATCAACTCTGCTGATCAGTATTTCAAAGAACAATATTTGTGGCAACTAAGGACAAATATTTGAATTAAGAAAATGTATTTCAATGTTTTAGTGAAACTTTGAGATCAATAAACTCCTTAGGCTCACAAGTAAAGAAAGTAACAGTTGTTGTGGAATTCGGGTTAATTTCCACCAATAATAATAAATTCACCTTGAAAACTATTATCTAGGTGGCTAGTATGAGAACGATTGTACTAAAAATCACCCCAAGGTAGATTCCCAGGAAAGAGGAGGGGTCACAATGGTCCTTCTTAAAACCCACTTTCCTTAGACAGAATTACTAAGATAAGTAATTTTAATAGGAAAATAATTAACAACTATACCCGACAATAGCTATTAAATAGACATAAAGAGAACACCAAAATTTAACGAGGTTAGGCCAAAATTATGCCTACCTCCTCAAACACTACTAAAATAATATTTCATTAATAGAGAAAATATTACAAAGAGAAAGAAATAGTACAAATAGCCTTTAATAGTGAAGAATACTTATATTTGTAGGATGCTTAACTAAGGAGGAGGATGGCTCTATTTATAACAAAAGAATTTCCCCTCCTCCTTATACACAACCAATGTGAGACTTTGCCAAAAAACCAACAAATCTCCACCTTGGCAAATTCCACACACATATCTCAAAAATCCAATCTTCAATAATGTCTGCAAATTCATCTTTTAATTTGTAACAATATTGACCAAGTCTAAACAATGTTTAAACTTGACCGCAGTTACCACTTTTGTCAACATATCAGCAGGATTCTCAGTGGTCCGAATCTTCTGGATTATGACTCCACCTTCTTCTAGAATCTCTCGTACAAAGTGATATCGAACATCGATGTGCTTCGTCCTTGCATGGTAAACCTGGTTCTTTGCTAAATGAATAGCACTCTGACTGTCACAATGCACTTTGATGTGCTTTTGTTCCATTCCCAATTCACCAAGCAACCCTTGAAGCCAAATTGCCTCCTTCACAGCCTCTGTAACTTCCATATACTCTGTCTCTGTAGTAGACAAAGCTACTGTTGACTGTAAGGTGGACTTCCAACTGACTGGTGCCTTTGCAAATGTAAACACATAACCAGTAGTTGATCGACGCTTGTCCAAATCACCTGCATAGTCTGAATCACAATACCCAACTACACACTGACCATCTTGTTTGTCCTGCTGAAAGACCAAACCAATATCTACGGTGTTCAGAATATACCGCAGAATCCATTTCACAGCTTGCCAATGCTCATTTCCAGGATCATGCATATACCTGCTCACAACCCCAACTGCTTGTGAAATATCAGGTCTCGTACACACCATTGCATACATCAAGCTACCAACAACACTTGCATACGGAACCTTTGACATGTATTCCTGTTCTGCATCATCCTTAGGTGACATGGATGCACCGAGCTTGAAATGAGGAGCAAGAGGTGTACTAACTGGTTTTGACTTCTCATTCATGCCAAAACGTTTTAGTACCTTCCTCAGATATTCTTTCTGAGACAAACAAAGCCTCCCCAATTTTTTTATCCCTTGATATCTCTATGTCTAGAATCTTCTTTGCTTCACCAAGATCCTTCATCTCAAACTCCCTATTCAATTGAGTCTTTAGTTTCGCAATTTTTGTCTGACTCCTGGAAGCTATCAGCATATCATCAACATAAAGAAGAAGATATATATAGGATCTGTCTTTTAGCTTGCGTAAATACACACAATGATCATATTTGTTTCTTGTGTACTTTTGCCCTATCATAAACTTGTCAAATCGCTTGTACCACTGCCTTGGAGATTGCTTCAATCCGTATAGCGATTTTTTCTAATTTGCACAACATATCTTCTTTTTCAACAACTTTGAATCCATCTGGCTGAGTCATGTAGATTTCCTCATCCAAGTCTCCATGTAAAAATGCAGTTTTTACATCCATCTGAACTAGTTCCAAATCCAACTGTGCTACTAAAGCCAACAAAATTCTGATGGAGGAATGTTTTACAACTGGAGAAAATACTTCATTATAATCAACTCCCTCCATTTGAGCGTAGCCTTTAGCCACCATTCTTGCTTTGTAGCGGATGTTATTCTTGTCAGGAAATCCATCTTTCTTTGCATATACCCACTTGCACCCAATTGTCTTCTTTCCCTTCGGAAGACTAGCTAGTTTCCACGTCTGATTCTTTTGAAGGGATTGCATTTATTCATTCATGGCGATCCTCCACTTTTTATGTTCTGAACTTTGGACTGCTTCATTAAAAGTGGCAGGAACATCATCAATTGCAATTGGTGATGCAAAAGAGACTATATCAGCATAACGAGCATGTTGTCTAATGGTCCTCTTTCCCTTTCTAAGTGCAATTGGTTCATGTTGCTGTGGAGGTTCTTGGTCTGAACCTCTTCTTCATCTGGCTCTTCTTCTACCATAGGAGAGTCATCATCAGTTTCTTTACTGGCTGGGTCAATTTTTCTTCCTTCAAACTCCACCTGTTTGGGAGTTCCATCTGTCTGCTCCAATTTTTCTGAAGTCACCTTTCTCAACATGGTAGATTCATCAAAGGTATCATCCATGCTGAAGATTATTTTCTTTATTTTTGGACACCAAAGACGATAGCCTTTCACACCAGAGGTAATCCCCATAAAGATCGCCTTCTTTGCTCTTGGATCCAACTTTGACTCCTTAACATGGTAGTCCAAACCATTTCTCTAATGTTGTTTTACCACCAATAGCAGTCGATGGTAAGCGGTTGACAAGGTGACAAGCATAGACCAAAGCCTCAGCCCAAAATTCTTTGCCTAACCCAGCATTAGACAACATACACCGAACCTTCTCCACTAATGTCTGGTTCATTCGCTCTGCCACCCCATATTGTTGTGGTGTAGATCTGATAGTGAAGTGTCTGACAATACCTTCTTCTTCACAGACTTTTATAAATGGATCATTTTTGTACTCTTCACCATTGTCTGTACGGAGACGTTTGATTTTTCTGCCTGTTTGAGTCTCCACCATCTTTTTCCATTTAAGGAAAAATCCTAGCACCTCATCCTTTGTCTTCATTGTATACACCCAAACTCTCCGGGAAAAATCATCAACAAAGGTGACATAATAGTGTGTTCCTCCCAATGAAGTTGTCTTGGAAGGACCCCATACATCTAAATGAACATAATCCAAAATACCTTTAGTATCATGGATTGTTGTTCCAAATTTCACCCTCGTCTTCTTCCCTTTGATGCAATGCTCACAAAAAGCTAATTTGCAAGCCCGAGCACCCTTCAATAATTCTTGATCTATCAGCAATTTCAAGGATTTTTCACCAACATGCCCCAAGCGCATATGCCATAACCTGGTTG